GAAAAACAGCCATGCAAACACAACTGCTTTTAGTAGAAACACGAATGGTACCCAAGCAATCGACTTTTGAGGCAATATATATATATATATATATATATATATATATATATATATATATATATATATATATATATATATATAATATCAGTAAGGACATGTAATCCTATATTCAGAAATCCTAAATTTTATCTTCCGACAGCTCAATCCGACGGGATCCAAACCCATGTCTCTGAGCTAACCGGATCGAATATGTTCCTCGTTACACCACGGAAGGAATACTGATTAGACGCTAAAATGTTTCGACCTACTACTTACATCCATATAATAAAACACTGTATACTATGGCTTCACTCGTAAACGAATCGTGATGTTGAATAACCATTAATCTTCCTCGAGAAATAAGCTATTAAATGTAAAAATAATTTTTCAAATTCGACTGGTAGGTTCAGAGATGTATATATATATATATGGAATATGTACAAAAGGCAGTCTCACGATCTTATTGCTGAAGCAATCTTTCCCATGCAACCATTGAAATCATTGGGTAGTGGAAAAAAGTAAACAGACGTTAACTATTTGACGCAAGAAGTGTAACCAATAAAAAAACGAAAACGCTCATGGTAATAAAATGTATATAATAATTATATTAATTATTTGCATTTATTTATAATTATGGTCAAAATGGTCACAACTTAGCTTATTGCTTTGCCCTCAAAAGAGCAAAACACTAATATTCTATTATAACCAAAAACCAACCCCGAAATTCCTTAATAAAAAAAAAAGAATAATATATAAAATCATTCAATATATATTAATATTATTTATACATTTAATAACGTATACTCATTTAATTTCATTTATTAATGTTTCTCAGACACAAAGCATACTGTGGTTGCCTCTAAATGTAATAACAGTTAGACCTAATCCACTAATATATTGTATTGAAATACTTAGCTATAGGTTATGTAGTCGAGTCTAGAAATTCTGGGCGTTGATATATCTTGCGACGTCCAGTTTTGCGGTCATCTGGAGGAGAAGGCTAAGATAGCTTCAAAAAAGTTAGGAGTGCTCAATGAGGTGAGACGGTATTTCATGCCGGAACACCGCCTGAAATTATATAAAGCTCAAGTCAGGCCGCATATGGAATACTGTTCTCACCTATGGGCAGGAGCGCCACAGTACCAAGTCCATCCGTTAAACCGCATTCAAAGTCGGGCGGCTCGAATTATTGATAGTCAATGCCTTACTGTCCGACTTGACCCACTAAAACTGCGCAGAGATGTTGCATCTCTGTGCATCTTCTACCGAATTTAACTTTTTACCGAACCTGCTGCTGATTTTCTCCACCGTACAACCCGCCACAAATTAAAGTTTCATCCCAATCATCTGGACGAGTGGCAGTCTTCCACCGTGCGTTTTTCAAGGCACTTTCTTTCATGCACAACCCTTCTTTAGAATCAACTTCCAGCAGCAGTATTTCCGAACCGAAACGACAACATAACCTTCAAGAAAAGAGTATATTCCTTTTTAAAAGGCACCAGCGGCTTTGCAGGTGGCAAAGCCGCTGGTGTTGTGGGTGATCATGGGCGGCGGTAGTCACTTACCATCAGGTGAGCCGCATGCTCGTTTGCCCCCTGTGTTGTAAAAAAAATATTGAAGATAAGATAAATAAATAAATAAATAATTGTAGCATTATAACAATTCCTAATGTAAGTAACATTCTTTCTTAACAAACTCAATGTAAAATACATCCAAATACTACGCGAGTAAATAATTAAAACAAAGCCGAAGTTTTTCACTCGCTTTCAGAGATCCCGAGCGAAAAGTCAAAACAGAATTGTAAAAATTTGTTTCTCACGTTTATGTTCAATTTATAAGAAGTGATTTTAAAAAATCATATCTCTTTAATCTTTAATCCTTCTTTGCATAATGGTGGAAATTTCCACCTTAACATTGCATGCCCAAAAATTATATAAAAGAAGATTTATTCACTTCAGTAGATATAATTTTCTAAAATAATACATAGCCTATGTTACTGGCTGATAATGTAGCTTCCTATAGACAAAAAAGAATAAAATAATATTTAAAATTGTATAGTTTTTGAGTTTATCCATTCCAAAAAGTCTTTTCGCTTTACAATATTAATATATTTTAATGTAATAACCATCGGTTCAACTTACGTGCAATTAAATCGAGAAAGCACGACTAGCTTTACTAGACTAGCTATACTAGACTAGCTACACCCGTGATTTGCGAGCGCGTCACAACCGCTCATGGTTAAGGGTCACGAATTGATCCCGAAACTAGTCAAGCTTGCTCGATCTAATTACACTTAAGTGAAACCGGTAGTTATTACATTAAAATATAATATGTGCTTACAAACTTCAAACAATATTTATAAAGATCAAAATAAAAACATTGAACGGTTAGTTAGTAGTTAAAGGGAGACTTTGTACAAAAGTCGATTGCTTGGGTACCTCTGTCCCATTCGTGTTTCAACTGTGAAGCAATTGTGTTTCCATGGTTGTGTTTCGGTTTGAAGGGTGGGATATGGCGTGAATTTACTGGGTACAGAGGAATAACACCTGAGTCCTCAGGAATGGCAACGCATGGGGGTATCATGGTCGAAACACTATACTCTGTTATGTCCATGGTACTGCTCATGTCTATAGGCAACGGTTACTGCTTTCCATCAGGTGGACCGTCAGCTTGTTTGCCATTCTAAGTTGTATAAAAAAAAGTTTGCAACGGAACCCTATTAATCTATATCCGAAACGTTCTTAGCCAATTTTTTTATAGGAATTTATCGCGTGGCGCTTATTGTGCTTAATTAAATTCTTCTGCGTACCGACGTCGGCGGCTAATGAAGTCCGCCCTTAAAATTGACCTACAGTCCAGTCGTTACTAAACTTTAACAACTGCCACACGCCTGTAACAAATCGCAAGGCAATTTTGAACAAAAAGTATTACTAAATGATACTTTTGTGCCATTCTTTGTCTGTCTATGCTACTAGTTTACGATGCTGGGGTATTTTTTTTTCATCATCATCCTCATCATATCAGCCTGTCCACTAATGGGGGAAAGGGATTGTTAGTAATGGAGACTGAGAACCCCATTTCTAGAAATATACCCAACCAGGTCGAGCTCCCCGCGGTTCCCCTTGGAAACTATCATGGTTAATTCATCGTGATGGGCTAACTGGCCTGTTTTCATTCTCATCTATCATCCTTCACTGGTGCTCCGCCAGCGTATCTCGTTAGCGCAGGCGGGGTTACCATACCATTTTCACCCATCGAAAAAAAAACTGTCCTCTGATGAACATAAGCTTCCCCCTTGAAAGGTTTTGTCACGCTTAGCAGACGGGTTAGCAACCGCAGTTAGGCTTTAGAGATCTTTTAAGAGGGACGCTACTGCCCATCCATCGCTCTCCCTTAGTCGATTCTTACTATATTCTGCATTTAATTTTTTTTCTGTATTAACTATTTTTTGCAGTAAGTTTTCTTTTTTTTTAGTTGGACGTTTATTATATTATTCATTCTTTTGACTGAATGTTATATAAGGCTAATGGGAAATCATGGTTGTATAATAAATCTGTATTCAGCTTGAGGAAAATTGAAGAAAATTAATGCTTCAAAACTGGGTGCCGCAGCCCGCGTTGTAACGGGCATATCAAATTACTTACAAAATGAGCATGTTATATCACACAATTCTCTTGATTGTAAAATGAACGATTATAATTTTTTTTTTTTTCATGTAAACACGCCCAATATATATGTAATATAAAAATTCTATCTAATACTACTAATCCTATTACACTGATTTTTTTAAAAAATTACCGTAATAGTACATTACTGCAGCGGCCAGCAACTGAGGCATTGATGGACGAACGTGCAAATGTGGGCCGAGGCGTAGCCGAGGCACACATACGTAAGTCCATCAATGCCTAGTTGTGGCCAAGGCTTGTGTAGTACTTTTCTCAAACAATGCGCGGAAATCAAAAACATAATTTTACTTTTAAGTTCAATGACGAATAACGAACAATAATAATTTTTCAGGCGCCATAATGTTCCTTTGCTTTTTTTTCAATAAACAGCTTTCTATTTGCAAGCCAGTTCAAAATTTAAATAAAACCTTTTATAAGTTACCTCCTTGGTAGCCATGTTTTAAAGTAAAAGGTCATTCCATTTTTAAATTACAGGACAGATATGAGTTTACATAATAATTTACCTGGCCGCAAAACACGACAGATATGAATTTTCATACAACTTTTGCCGGCCGCTACCCGCATGTATCTGGCTAGTACGGCAATTTTGATTTATCTCGAAGAAGATTGTCAAAATAATGCTCACATTTCCAAGCATGTTTGAGAAAAAATATATTATAAATACACAATCGGGACTTATCGCTTTTACAGACGATGACGCTGCTCACTTCAGTCCTGTCGTGACCATGGCGTGGTACAATCCACGTCGAAACGTCGACAATAAAGAAACAGATACATATGTAGGTAATAATTACCTGTAAAGGCTTTTTCATCGCGTTAAGTCCCGATTGTTTATCTATACTTATAATAAATCTGTAGAGAGGTCAAATCTGCACATGAAATATATTTCCAAAATAACTATCAGGGGGTGATTAGTGATCGATACTGATGCCAAAAATGCAATCAGTAAAATTTTCGTCTGTCTGTCTGTCTATATGTTCGTTATAGAAACAAAAACTACTCGACGGATTTTAACGAAACTGGGTACAATTATTCTTTATACTCCTGGGCAGGTTTACTTTATATTTATTATTATAATATACTTTTCATCACGCTACGATCAATAGGAGCAGAGTAGTAAAGTTACTCCATTTTTAAGCTTCCGTCGCGTGTGCAGCGTTAATGACCACTTTTTAAAATGTAAAAATGTCCACCCGTGTGACGCCATGGACGAGCCGCTAGTTTAAAATATATGTAAACAACGCGTAAATTTAAAATTAACTAATTAAAAATAAATTAATTATTTAATAATACAATTTATTTAAAAAGAAACTTAATTTAAATTCTCTATAATTCAGTCGTTTTACCGTATAAAAAAAATTTACAATCTCAAAGTATAATTTAAGCTGGTTCTTCCGCTGGTTCTTCATCAGCGTCTGGCTTCTGGCACGCGAGCGCTCCGCAGCGGTTGGGGCAGCACTTCAACGCTCTGGGACAATCCGAGTCGCTGGTACATGTGTGCGTGCACACCCACACACCGCGAGGGAACTCGGGGCATCGACCTTTTTTCACTGTAAATAAATATTAATAATAATATAATTTATTCAACAAAAATGTATAGATGCAATTATAAGGTACATATACTCGTACATTATATATTGATTCACAGTTAGTATATCTGGCCTCCATGCTAGGAAAGTCCTGTTTCTTTTTTGGTGGATGGTAATGGAATGGTAACCGGTACCATTCCATTTTCGTCCACCAAATCGGTAACATGGTAATAAAATGGTATACCGATAGCGCGGGTGGGGTTACCATTCCATTATCACCCATTAAAAAAAAAACAGACGGTTGACTGGTAGAGACACCGTCTGGTGTTAAGTCCGTCAAATGTACATAGAATTTTACTGTGCATTAAAGTTTAAATAAATAAATAACAATAATAATAGGTATAAATAACAATACAATAACAAATAATATTAATAATAAATAATTCCACATGACATACGATATAAAATTCCTATCATAGTTTGGAATTAGCAGCGAACTTTAAAAAAAGGGCGAGCACAAAAGATCATGGAAAGGTCGCAGTGTCACAGGTTTTTCTGATTGGAAAAAGCCCGTCTTTCAATAATAATAATAACATACGAGACTTGCTACATGATACGACATAACGAAACACCAAATGGAGACTCTGTACAAAAGCTGTTTGCTTGGGCACCTCTGTCCCATTCATGTTTCTAAACTACCAACTAACCTAACTTCACACTCACAATCTTTCACCGGTATCTCGCCAACAATATATCAACTTGTTGCGTAAATACGCTTACTATTGCATTGTTATCAGAAAACGAGACAGCGCCATCTAGGTTCAAACTATACGAGTTACAAACTAAAGAACTTATACTATGGCAACTATGGATACGAAACAACTGACAGACGTACTTAAATATATTTTTGCTTTGTAAATACATAATAATTATATATAGAAAACACTCAAGCCAAATATACGAAGGACCACTGGTAATAAATATAAGTAGAACGAATTATCAGAAATCAAGAAAGTTTAACCACTAGCCAAGCCTTCCAGTACAGGAAATATGACAAATTATTCTTCATCATCATCATCACCTTGCTTTTGTATGTTTATTTGGGATTGACATAATAATAAAATTTTCAGAATACCTAGTCCTTTAGAAATTTAAATTTACATGATACAGAGGAATAACACCTGAGTCCTCAGGAATGGCAACGCATAGGGGTATCATGGACGAAACAGTGTGTTATGTCCATGGTACTGCTCATGTCTATAGGCGACGGTTACCACTTTCCCTCAAGTAAGCCGTAAGCTTGTTTACCATACTAAATTGAATAAAAAAAAAACATCAAAATCGGTTTAGTAATTTAATCATGACAAAAGTGATTACCTATTAAATAAAAAACTTTGTTTTTATGGACCAAAATCTACTTGTAAATATATACATTCTTTATTGCACTTACAAATTACTAAGATAAGACAGTTGTAAATATTGTGATCAAGGGTGCACTTATCTCTTCCAATTAATATACTATGGTCATTGCAACTGAGTTATTTTATTGTTTTGTTTTAATCATGTACTATACATATTTTAAATCTTATGATCTGATACTGCTTAGTAGTTTGTATTCACACAAATTCATTATTTATATAAGTTTTTTTTTAAAGTAACAGCTGAGTTTCTTGCCCGTTCTTCTTGGCTAAAATTGCGTTCCGAATGGGCGGTAATGACAAAAATACTATACAAAAATGCTTAAATCTAAGTTTACTTGAATAAAAATATTTCTTTCTTTCTTTTTTTTTCAATATAATTAAATGAAACATCATTATTTCTAACCAAGATTAATGAAGTGACGCTTCGTCATCGGATCGACGCACATAGCGCCCCCGCACGCTGTGGGGCAGCACAGCTGGGTGCAGTTGCACGGTCGGTTGGGGCCACATCTCCCCTCGCAAATGTCCACCGGCAACGTCGGAGGACAGGAACCAATCTCCGACCGCACGACCATGAAGAGAGCGGAAACAATTACTGCAAAATCATTATTCGTGGTTAGTTAAATATAAAATTATATTTAGTCTAAACTCATATGCAAATCTCTTGCAGGTGTTGCAGTGTTACAAAAATTGCAATTGTTCGTAATAAATTCATCTGAATTGGATTGTGTATTTATTTATTTATATATAATATTTAGAAACATTTCGATAGAATACACTAGTGGATTACGGCCAACTGTTGTTACATTTATAGGCGACCACAGCATGTTTTGTGTTTAAAAAAAATATATTAAAATAATGCATGTTGCAATATGAAAGTATATAAACATACAAGTATGACCTCGTTCACCTGATAGTTAGTTACTACCGCCACGATGGAAAGCAGGGTTTCCATTTTCGATTATTTTTACACAAAATTCCTTCGCCGGATAAAAATCCGGTCTCATACTCGTATTGATTTACACTACGTTTTGCCATTAATCACAAAGCGAACGACGTAAAAACACCACACCCCTAAAAACTAAACAAAACAAGAACATCCCATCTTCTTCACTTTACTCCAACAATTTCACTTCTTCTAAATTAAGCGAACAGAATTATTTTTACCAGAAATTACGAAAAAATTACTTAATCTGGCAACACTGACAAAAAGTAACCTATAATAGTTCATCTTATAGTTGTATATAGGTACGTTAAATTTCATAAAGATTCATTAAGCCAATAAAGTGCCAAGGTGTAACAAACAAAAACTATTACTAAGTATAAGATAGCTACTTACTAACAAAGTACGTCTAAATGACAAATTAGTGTGAAAGAGAGAGTCTAATGTCATTTTCCTCCTCGTGCTTCTTTATAGAAAAAAAAATTTCCAATTACACAAATGAAACGTGCGCTTAAAAGATGCTAATAAATTTTACCCTGTATTATGTTCAAGATATTTAATTTCATACATACATTATATATTATATATAGGCCAACACAACATTGACTGTGGAAACTCGCGTACAAGATCAACAAATCTTCCAAATTCTCTAAATTGCAGCACAAAGATAAACATGTATATTCATTAACAACACTCACCGACAGCTAGGCTCCAACGCATTATTGCTGCTAACAATTTCACTTGGCGACCCACTCAGATACTTTATAACTCACGTTTACTCCAATTATTGCGAGGAGATCTCGACACAAATAACAAGTGTTTTACACACAACGCTCACGAACGAGGAGCAATGGTTGAACAATTATCATTTTAAGTATTTTCTTTATTTTATGTGTTTGCTTTTCATGAATTACTCAAGCTGTGCACATAATGTGATTGGATTATAACCTAGCCGAATCACAAATGTAACTGTTATTAAATTTTTTTTATGTTTGTGATCTGTTTTATGTGCCAATAAAATAAAATAAATAAAATAAAAATATCAATATATATACACAGTTACGTGAAACAGATAACATGTCTCTCTTTAGTTAACTATAACTTGCGTATTTGCTCTTTAACAAAAAAAAAAATCTTTAGTCATGTTAAAATCAATATAAATTAATTACAATTATAAAAATAAACATACTCGTATGTAAGTAATTAATTGCCGTGTGGTCCCGGCGAAAAATAAGCCATCGCTTACTTTCCCGTAGGTGTCGTACGAAGTGACTAAGAAATGGCGAGGGATGGGCAGCAGCGTCCTTTTAAAAGCATCTCCAAAGCCTAACTACGGCTGCCAATTCATCTGCCAAGCGTGGCAATTACTGGCAAAACCCTCCAAGGGGGAGACTTATAATCAGCAGTGGACAGTTAAAACCTGACATGATGATGATGAATTATAATTATTAACAAATGCAAATAATTAATATAATTATTATATATATTTTATTACCAATTGAGCGTTTTCGTTTTTTTATTGGTTACAATTCTTGCGCCAAATAGTTAACGTCTTTTTACTTTTCTCCACTACCCAAAGATTTCAAAGGTTGCCTGGGAAAGATATCTTCAGCGATACGACCGTGAGACCGTTTTTTGTACTTCATAAGTGTAATAAATATGTATATTACATTTATTTACATTTATACTTATAATAATATATTTGTATTATTCTTTAAGTGTAATTTTATTAATAAAAAGTAAACAAGATAATACAGAACTTAACCCCATTCATTACAAAAATAATTATCAAAATTTATTCAGAACTGGCAGAAAAAATGCGTACCATACACACGCGGGAGTACCCCTTTGAAATCTCTTAAAAAGTAAATTAACGTCAGGTTGAAGTACTATTATATATTCTGTGGTCAAACTATTGAATTACGAACCAATACAAACTCTCTTCCTTTACATCAAAGTACCCTGATTCTACGTTCAACAATTTTTGTTCATACAAACTCGCCAGTTGTGGATACGTATTCATATGTATATAGTACTTTGTAAATAGCTCTTTTTCAGTAGCTATATAAACTAGTTGGTCGACGTAATTTTTTATTTATTCACTTTTTTCTGATTTTCGCTCGTGTAATATTTATTCATAATTAATATTTCATTGGAAGTAAATATTGATCCACGTAACTAAAATAATAGTTCGTATTATAAGATTTAACGTGACATTATAATATCACGTGATTATTTGTGAAATTAATGGTGGTGATATTTTAGAGACTTCAAAAAGCAGTTTTCCAATTTGACAGTATTTTTAGTGTTTAAACGTTATATAATTAAATTTCTTTGGTTATTCATTCACAAAATAAGTATTTCATTTTAATATCATAATTAATGTCATTGTTTTTGTAGAATGAACATTCATTGATATTCTTTTATGACTTGAAATGGCGAAAAGTGATGGTTCACCTAATGGAAAGTGGGAATCGTCACCTATCTATTGATACAAACAAAAAATAAACATTACAGAATCCTCTGTGACAACCATGGTATAGCACATAAAGAGACGTTGCCATTCCTATGGGCTAAAAAGTGTATACCTTCGTATCTTACTACCATATATCAACCTTCAAAACCAAACACAGCTATGCAAGCACAACAACTCATACCTAGCAGCATAAATTCGAATACGACAGAAGTATCCACTCAGACAACTCTCAAATAAAAATGTTCAATTGTCGACCGATAAAAATGCAAATTGTTCCCTTATCTACATACACAAATTCGTCTCTTTCACTCAAAACGTGCGTGGATGAATGACAGTCGGAGATTGAGGACTAATATGGAAAGTTGTAAAACTTCTAGTACTAATGATGGGTATCAGTCTTCAAATATTGGCAGTTACACACATACTAATGGTAGCAGTATTAAACAAAGTAATTGTAATCAAATAACCATTCACCTCTGTGTGAATTTGCAGTCAATTATTTTCCATCGATCAAAGCCCTAATTTCGTATCGTATTCGTAAGAAATATTATTCAATAGTTTCATCGATGTCATGTTGTATAAGGAGGTCAAAGATATGGCCTGGAACAGAGCTGGCTGGAAGGAAATGCATTAATTTGTTGCACCAATAAGAAAGGAAACCCTTAAATGAAAAGAAGAAATTTTGTCGGCATGACTAGTAGGAGTTCTATACAAATTTATGCTCTATAATATTTGTAATAAAAATGACATTTCTATATCTCAAATTACCATACAAACGTATCGATATTAACGCAGTCAATACATAAACCTTTGTGCAATTTACATTGCGCGCTCTGTTCGCCGAACGTAATGGCTGTGTGTATTTTGTTAATGTCACCGGGATCAGATAACTCGCAGTGACACTGACGTTAACAGGGATTGTACAAAACTATAATTATAACGAAAAACACGATTCGTTTCAGTTGATTTCCCAGAATCTTGTTATCGTGTTGTCTTCACTTTCCTCATACTGAGTCTGAACCATTTCGATATTAATAGATAATTCATATAATACTCGTAATTTTTTTATAAATGTAGTGTCTATATAGTATTGATTATTTATTTAATTTGTTTACACATGTACGAAACGTATCTAGTACTTAAGTAAGACCTCATTTTAAATTGATCTTTGCTTGATAATTAAGGGTTTTTTTTAATGGGTGAAAAGATTAACCCCGCCTGCGTTAACGTGGCGGAGCACCAGTGAAGGGTGATCGATGAGAATGAAAACAAGTTAGCCCATCATGATGAATTTTTATGATATATCAGTCGTTGAGCAATGGGATTCTCAGTCTCCATTACTGAATCCCTTTCCCCCGATAATTAAGGGTTTAATACCGTCTGTGACAACTATCCACTGCTGAACATAGACTTCCTCATAAGGGGAGTTTTGCCACTAGTTGCCACGCTTGACAGGCAGGTTGGCAACCACAGTTAGGTTTTGATTTTTTTTTTAGATGTTTTAAGAGAGACGCTGTTGTCCATCCCTTAATCATTAAGCTTCCTTAGTCGCCTCTTATGACACCCAAGGGAAAGGATGGGATGGCCCATTCTATACCGAGACCGTAAGTCGATTATTATTTATATAATTATATTATCACATATATAGCTTATTAACAGTTCACTCTATACTAAACGTAGTAGTATGGGGGGGGGGGGGGGGAAGGTATTTTTAGTAATGGTCAAATCCATTTACTAAATATATCCTACGAACCTCGAAAACCTACTAGTTAATTCTATTAGGTTCAAAATTCAATATTTTATTATGAAGAAATGTATCAATAAAAAAATTTATGTGTTTATATAATGAAATGTTAAACCAAAGAGCAAATATAACCCGTATTGTATATTTATTATGCTTTTGCATTTGTAGTGTTGACGACTTCTAACAGATGGCACTATTATTGTGCATTGTTAATACAAGACTTTTGATTTGTTTCAAATATTAATTAAAAATATATATAATTACTTTTGTTTTACTAAAAGCATTACACATTTATAAAAAAAATATATTATGTACATGAATGCATTACACAATAATAAATAAATAAGTAGATAAACATCGATCTAAAAAAATATCAAAATACTAAAAATATAAAAAAATTTAAACCTTAATGATCCCAAAGGGTATGATTAATAATAAAGTCTGAAATACTTTTTTTTATTAATTTTTCTGTTGCCTTTTATATCATAATAATGAAATAGTTTTCGTACCAATCTATGGTAATTATAAAAGTACTCATTGGTATCCTATTAATATTATAAATGCTAAAAAAAATGTAACATTGGATGGATGTACGTTTGTTACTCTTTCACACAAACATTGCTGATAAGATTTTAACGAAATTTGGATAGGTTATATCCTACATAGTCTACTTTATATACTGATAATATATACCAGAGGGAGACTTTGTACAAAAGTCGATTGCTTGGGTACCTCTGTCCCATTCGTGTTTCTGCCGTGAAGCAGATGTGTTTGCATGGCTGTGTTTCGATTTGAAGGGTGGGATATGGCAGTGAATTTACAAAGTACAGAGGAATAACATCAGTCCAACGCATGGGGGGTATCTTGGGCGAAACAGTATACTCTGTCATGTCCATGGTACTGCTCATGTCTATAGGCGACGGTTACCACTTTCCATCAGGTGGGCCGTCAGCTTGTTTGCCATTCTAAGTTGTATAAAAAAAAATAAAAAAATTACAAGGATGAATCTGCGGAGTACAGCTAGTTTTTTCTTTGTTCTTGAGTTCTCCTTTTAGTAATCCCATTTTCATATTCTAGTACTTCTTCTTTTCTAGCTCTTGTTCTACGCTTTTCCTTTTTTAGTCTCCTCCACTTTGTGATGCTCCTCGGTATTTGCTTATCTATTTACACAGTTTTGTGGATATATGTACATTTTTCACATTGTTTTTGTTCAGTCATAATTTCTCGACCATATTTTTGCACTACCCACTTGGTAATTTTATTTCTAGACTCCTATTTTAATTTTACTTAACATCTGCCTATTTTGGACTATATTTTTACCTCCTCAGCACCATTTCAAAATTGAACGATCTCATTTCTTGCTGACTAATGTGTTCCTCTTGGTCTTCTACTGGCCTCCCCCCCTGAAAGTCTCAAAGAGGTCATCATTGCCTACGTTAAGAACCTATGATTTATATCTACCTAATTCTTTGTTCTGGTTCTTATTCTACTTTGACTCTACCTTAAGGTTAAATACCTTTTCTAAACGCTTAACTGCATTTGCAAAGAATTCTATCAGAAAGTACCTATATCCCTTTTTTTATATAGAAATTTAAAATTTAATATTTCATTCGATTTATACATACTTGAGCGGCGTTCAAAACAGAATCGAGGTATAATAAGTCGATCCATTTACCTGTAAGGGCAACTTAATCACAGTCCGCATTAGTGGGACCACTGTTCCATTTAATTTGAGAGAGGTCATATAACGCATTGTACACATGGGTATCATTGGTATTTAGTTCATTGACCAACATAAATAAGGCAGAGATTCTTAATACGAAAGGTTTTTTTTTTTATATATATTTGGTGCGACAAGTACAGACACAACTAAGACAATATATTGCAGCAAATTTAATAATAGTGTTAATGACAAAAAAAAAATAAAGTAATTATTAATTTGTTAATGAACTAATAGGCGTGAATTTACAGGGTACAGAGGAATAACATCTTAGTCCTCAGGAATGGCAACGCATGGGGGGTATCATAGGCGTAACAGTATACTCTGTTATGTCTATGGTACTGCTCATGTCTATAGGCGACGGTTACCACTTTCCATCAGGTGGGCCGTCAGCTTGTTCGCCATTCTAAGTTGTATAAAAAAAAGGCAGAAATAAAAGTAAAATAAGGTCTAAAAAGAAACACACTGTGAAAAACGATATAGATACAAAGACAACGAATACTGGAATAATTCCAAAAAAAGATAAAAAGACAAAACTTATTACACTAATCCCCAATGATATAAAATAAGTATAGGTAAATATGTAATAAAGATTATTTTACTAATAAAATTCTCGAAGATCCTATAAATTTTACGACAAATAATAATGCATGTGAATTTATCTGAGGGTATAACTGAAAACACGCTAATTTCAGAGATTCTTTACAAGAAACCAATTATAAAATTGTATAAAACAAAAGGTTTATAAGCAAAGAGGTACGCCTTTCGCTCTGCCTACCACGCAAAGAACTTGACGTGAAGATAAATAAGTAGATACGAATTACTGTTACGAATATATGCCAAAACGTGAAATTAGCAATGAGCACATAGCCTACAAAATACCCATGAGAGTACTGACGCACGATCCCATCGTCTTTTCATTATGTTCACCTTATTGGAATAATCGAAATGGATATTTCAGATTAAAATCGTATTCGTCGGATGGTGGGGAGCTTTTGTGCCATCGGATTTATTATTTTTATTATAAACTAGGGAATACCAATAAGTTCATTCGAGTGGCATTTATACCGCTAATAATCCAGCTACCAACGACCCTAAATATACGACCCTATAATCATATAGGTGTACTCATGTGATGTAGACTAGTGTTTTTCAAAATGTGGATTGCAACCTCTTGGGGGGGAGAAAGGGATTGTTAGCAATGGAGTTTGACAGCCCCATTGCTAGCAATATGCCCTATTAGGTCGACCTACACGTGATTTCCCCTGGAAACCATCGTGAACAATTCTTGTTGAATTCGTCACGATGGGCTAACTGACCAGCTTCATCCTCATCTATCATTCTTCACTGGTACCCCGCCGGTGTATACCGATAGCGTCGGTGGGTATACCATTCCATTATCACCCATTAAAAAAACCCCTTGGGGGTTACCCGAGCCTCTACAAGGAGGTCGCGGAAGGTCACGAAGCAGTGAAAAATCAACAGTTCCGTAAATACTTCTGTCAATCATAATAATACATAATGATGTATCTATAACAGGCATAGATTACATGTCTGTTTTAGATACTTTATTATGTATTATTTATTTTATTTTATCGATACCTAACTGTGAATATAAATACAACTGTACGGATTTCACAATTGTACTATAATAAAATTCATACACATTCGAAACCGTGGAGAGTAGGGGGTCGCAAGATATTTTAACATAATAAGGGGGTCGCGTCATGAAAAAGATTGAAAAACACTGAAGTAGATAGTTACAACTTAATTTGCATTAAAGGGCAAACGTAATGGTATGCAATATATACGTACGTACTAAGGGAAAAGGGATTGTTAGTAATGGGATCTAACAGCACCATTGCTAGCAATATACCTTATAAGATCGATTTCTACCCGTTTGTCCCTGAAAACATCATAGTTAAATTTTATGGAATTCGCCACGATAGGCTAACTGACTTGCTTCATTCACACAGCTGATTGGCGACAGAAACACAACTGGGATAAAGATACCCCATGATTTTCTATGGTTTTCCTCTTGAAAACATTGGAATAACTCTTTCATTCACAATTTTGTATAACATTCCAAATAGCTGAACGAAGTTGTATGCAAAATGTAGTGCATAATTCGCAAGTGTAGAGGCTGCCATATCTAAAATTCCATTATGCGGCTGACATGACTACTCGAGTGGTTTACTTCTGTGTGTTATCTAGTTGAATACTCTTAGGTACTATCAACTTCACTACCTACAGATAAGATAGATAGATAGATAAACTTTTTATTTGAGCCATTTATGACACACGTAAATTTACAAATGAGTTTATACAATAAAATTGTTTACACTTTTCAAAATATACAAAATATTAAAATATGGTTGTCCATGTGTATCGCAGTGACCCAAATAGGCTACAGCTCAGTGATGATTTTGCTTTAAAGCAAAGCACTGATTTTCAGCTGCAGCCTGAAGTTAGGCTACACGGACGCGTACAACAAACCTAGAGTGTAACCTGTGTAACAGCCAAAGATAAAATTGTATTATATAGATACATACTTATATAAATGATGCATAAATAATATATTTATTATTACAAGACTTATAAGTATTTATTCATAAGGCATTAAAAATAAAAAAATATATATTTTGTTACTTTTGATGATTAAATAAAACTGTATATGTAGTTACGGTCCTGATCCACCTGCATCCACTGACTCCCAACAATGCATTTGAACTCGTCACTCCATCTACTGGGAGGGTCGTGTTATACTGCGTTTGCTCGTACGAGGTCGCCACTCAAGAACCTTATGTCTATAGGCGACGGTTACCACTTTCCATCAGGTGGACCGTCAGCTTGTTTGCCATTCTAAGTTGTATAAAAAGAAAACTTTCTTCCCATCGGTTGTCGGTTCTTTGAGCTATGTGACCAACCCATTGCCTTTAGTTCTTTTGCCGATATCCTTGTTTCGGATTCTATCACGCAGAAACTCCCAGCATAGTCCTCTCCATAGTTCGCTGAGTAAATTGAAGCTTTTGCATATGGGCAATCGTGTAGGACCATGTTTCGCTTCCATAAGTAATCACTAGCAACACGCACTGATTAAAATGCTGAGGCTTTCCTTATGACAGTCTGTGGGGGAGGCTTATGTCCAGCAGGGGATAGATAATGGCTGAAATGATGATGATATAGTTTTTTTTTTTATAATTTCTAATGAGAATGAGACATTTTAGCATTGTAAAAAAATATCCTTTGTGACCAAAATACTGAGTCATCGCCGTAGAAAATTTTATCAAAATACGTTTGGTAGTTATTGAAAGATGTATGCAACAGAAATTATTCTTATAATAGTACCGACGATACCACAACGAGGAAAAAGGATAAGGTATATGCTTGCTCTGGGGATTACCATCCCCGAGCAGTAAACCTTTAAATGCACTGATCCATACAACCCTCTTTCGCCTTTACTCGCATTCATCAAATTCTAAAATATGTCTGTAAAAAATACGCAATAATATTTCATAATTATTTTATTTTACTTTAAAATGTTTAAAAACAACGATAAACGGGCGCAGTTAAATTGATAATTGTACAATATAATATAATTTATGTACAAACATTCAAAATACAATTTTAGCACAATTATAAAAATATTAAAAATTTAACGAAATCATAGCAGTAACAATAAAAAAAAAGTTTGAACCCTGTATACACTAGAAGACTTTTGTATGATTAATTGTTATAAATAATAATATCCTTATTTATCTTAGTATAAATTTGTATTTTAAAAACCAACAGAAACATACTCACTATAAAATACAATAATATTAAACAAATAACAGATTAACCCTTCTTTGCATAATGGTGGAAATTTCCATCGTAACATTGAATGCCCAAAAATTATAAAAAAAACGAAGTTCACTTTAAGTTGATCGTGTCTGGATACCTTTTTAATGTCCATTGCAGAAAAAAAAACCATAGCTGTCAAATTTATTTTTTTAACCATTTTTTCTTTAATTTTGAACATGACATTGACCTTGATTTATTTCACCAATAAATCATGCAAAAGAAATCATGCAAAGAAGGGTTAATCAATTCGTTGTCTAAATAAGCTTGAGAATTCCTATAGTTTACTTTTGTTTGTATTGTACCTATTTCACTTCCTAGTAACTCTAATTCTTGTAATAATACTGTACAGTCACTTTGTAGTACACATATTTGACTTCTTACTTCATCTAACAATTAATACTAAGGAAGGTAGAATATTGTGTGAGTATGCTTCCAAATAAGGTACTTTAATTCTTATAACATTCTTTAATTATTTTATAGTATAGATACTTTATTTCCTAGTATGTCAAATTCTTAAAAAATATTAGGAAAATAGTTGTGTTACAGTGTGGTCATTTTCTTTCCTAGTCACTCTAATCCTTGTAACAATACTGTATAGTTATTTTATAATGTAGGTACTTTATTTCCTACTCTGTCTTGTTATTAGACAATATTAGGTAAGGTAGTTATGTTGCAGTGTAATCATTTTCTTTCCTAGTCACTCTAATCCTTGCAGTAATACTGTATAATTATTTTATAGTGTAGATACTTTATTTCCTACTCTGTCTTGTTATTAGACAATATTAGGTAAGGTAAGTTGTGTTGCAGTGTAGTCGTTTTCTTTCCAAGTCACTCTAATCCTGGTAGTAATACTGTATAGTTACTTTATAGTATAGATACTTTATTTCCTACTCTGTCTTGTTATTAGACAATATTAGGTAAGGTAGTTGTGTTGCAGTGTAGTCATTTTCTTTCCTAGTCACTCTAATACTTGTAATAATACTGTACAGTTATTTTATAGTGTATAAAGTAGCGATACTTTGTTTCTTTTAAAATACTATAAAAAATAGTTGTATTACAGTGTAGGCATTTTGCTTCCTAGTAATTGTAATTTTTAAGTGATTCTAATAATATATTGAACCCGAAAATTTATATTTGTTTGTTACTTAGTCAAAACGAATCGTAATAAAGTTTGATGCGGATTTGGACGGACGGACGAACCTAAAATTGTTATTGTTGTTTCCCCGCATAGATATCTTTCCTCCTAGCCAATGTAATTCTTAGATAATATAGTATAATTATTTTGTAGTGTAACAATTTTGAAATCCAGTTGGTCCAAATTTTTTTATATATATATATATATATATATATATATATATATATATATATATATATATATATATATATATATATATATATATATATAAACACATATGACTTTCAGATAATCCTGACCAATAAATTATTTATAATAATAATATTGTATATGTTTTCAATAAGGTGTGTTATTCTCTATATATTTAATGTAATGAAACCGTTTTATTTACCTTAGCTTATAATACTGTATTTTTATTTCGCAGTATAAGTATTTAGCTGCCTTAGGTTATTTACGTGCGATCTTTTCTTACAATATACAAGTATTTACTGTTATTCTCGTTGGATATCATTACTTTTTCTGTTTTTTTTTTTTTTTTTTTTTGTAAATAAGATATACTTATTTTATTCACTAGACAATACATTACTGTATTTATTAATGTTTTTTTTTTATGATCTCTGTCTACCAAAGAACAATGGCTTACTTTAGTAATAAAGGGATTGAGATTCGAACCGGCGTAAACCAGATTAATCACCTCTGAGTGTCGGAGTTTATTGTTTGTTTAATCTGAAGTTGTTGTAGACAGCCATTATGAAAACTTCGATTTACTTTTACTGTCTTATTCATAATAAAACCGTTTAAAAACTAAAATCTTCTTGAAACCTATTTTAATTATTGAATGTTTTAATGTAATAATTACTGGTTTGTTTAATTTACGTGACATTACGCGAGCGCAAGCTTGACTCATGCTCATGATTAAGGATCACGAATTGATCCCGAAACTAGTTGAGCTTTGTCAATATAATTACATGTAAATTAAACTGGTTGTTATTATATTAAAATTAAATGTGTGCTTACGCAATTTTTAACAATAAAACTGACTGTTTTGTCACTTATCAAATTGAAAATTTAACGCATTAAGAAAAAACGCATCAGTAACAAATATTCTGTTTCAATAGAGTTTCATGAAAATGTAAACAAATAAACAATTGATCCGACCGCTTAAGTCTGCCTAATTAATCTTTAATTGTACACTGCTGGTGTCCAAATAGTAGTATAAGTAAGAAATAGATTAATTGAATTAATGTTTTGGATTTGTTACCAATTTTTTTTTTTTTATTTGGTTCTGTTTTCCCTAACAATAGTTAAGGCAAATGGACTAAGCCTATACAGCCGTTGTCTTGAGTAAATTTCTTGTATTTCATTTCATTCATCAAAAGTGTTTCTGTGACAGTTTTACCAAAACTTGGTTTCATTCAAGTCTATTAGAGTATAAAATAGCTTCGTTTTTATTAACCGACTTCAAAGAAGGACTATTTCTATACGACTTGTATGTATTTTTGAATCAGTGAGTTAACCTTGAGAGAGAGGGCTAATAAACCTAACAATAACCGGATAACTATTGTACATGCAAGTGCTTATTATTTTTGTAATTAGTCCTATCTAGATACGAAGTCAGCCATTCGTCTATGACCGGAATATTTTCGGCTGACCATTTGGCTTCTTCTCGAATGTTCCTCATGGATTTCTCTATGATGTGCTCGGCTGAGCCGAACTCACCCTGGTGTGCCACGTATAGATTGGATACCAGGGCCAGTCCGTCCTGAGTCGTGAATTGTGATGTGGCTGATGTAATCAGGTTGTCCCAGAGGTTTGTTTTGCTTGAAAATCTGTTGGACAATATTGTTACAATTAACATTATTAAAACACTAAGTGATTTCCGTGACTTTGCCAGCACGAATTACGATATAAAGTACTCTGAGTTGTAATACAGTTTATGCTCCATCTTTATAAAAAAATTCATTCAAATCCTTTCAGAAGTTAGTGCGTGATCAAGTAACAAACATGTAGACACGTTTTTGAAACAGTATACTCTTTTATGTCCATGGTGCTGCTCATGTCTATAGGCGACGGTTACCACTTTCCATCAGGTAGGCGGTCAGCTTCTTTGCCATTCTAAGTTGTATAAAAAAAGACATACAAACTACTAAACGTCTTTGAAAATGAACACAATTATCCATCCACATTCATATTGTATATTTAGATGAAGCTAAGTGGTTAGAAGACTTTTTTTTATACAACTTAGAATGGCAAACAAACTGACGGCCCACCTGATGGAAAGTGGTAACCGTCGCCTATAGACATGAACAGTACCATGGACATAACGTTGCCATTCCTGAGGACTCAGGTGTTATTCCTCTGTACTCTGTAAATTCACGCCATATCCCACCCTTCAAACCGAAACACAGCCATGCAAACACAACTGCTTCACGGTAGAAACACGAATGGGACAGAGGTACCCATGCAATCGACTTTTGTACAAAGTCTCCCTCTGGTATTAATTTTATACTCACTTTTCCTTCAGCACTTGCCAGTTGTTGCTCAAGAAATTGAACAGCGTAGTATGACCCATTGGACTGCCAGTCAGCATATTAAATATCAAAAACAAATCTGTCTCGGTGAAGTTTCCGTTTCCTTCTAGAACAGCTATGTCTAAAATCCTCTTAATTTTCTCCTCATCATTTGGGCATCCTGCTAAGGTTTTGAGGAGATATGTCCTTTCACTTTGCTTTCTCGATGGTGGGAAGTTGATGACTCGCTGAAGGCCAAACTCCCATTCCTTTTTGGTTCCCCACGTGAACACCGGACAGAGGTACTGATTTGAAATGCTAGAAAAGTATACATTGAATAAATATTATATACTGTTATAATTAGAAGCAAAAGAATATAATATATTTGTAGTAAAAAATTCCACTGTAATATTTAATTATGGGATGAAATTATGATCATAAATTACATTAACAACAAAGCCTTAAGTAGAGCAGTTTCTTAAAAATTACTTAAAATAATAAATAAATAATGATAACTTCATTCCTTAAGACAAGATAGAAATGATGTACTTGAAAGGACAAAAGTTCATAAATAAATAAATGTGAAAATTTATTGCTAGAAAGTGAATCCAGTAAAGAGATGGGCAGCCCAATCTGACGACTTTGGTTTGAATTCCAGACGTTATAAATTTTTACACAAAAATATTATTGTTAATACTGTGTAGATTGTGGTCTAAAATTCATTTATTCGTGTATTATTTTCTATAAAATTTTTAATTTACAAAAAAAGTAATATAGACAATGAAATTAAATTAAAAAGTATTTATTCAGACATAGAACTTTACAGACTCTTATAACAAACTTATACGTGTAAAATATTAACTTCAAAAAGGATTTTTTACACTTTACCAGAGTTTTTTATACCTATCTCAGAAGTCAATTTAGAAAAACGAAGTGAAACAAACATTATTTTATTTATACTTAGGTATTTGTTATTTTTATTTATTTTCAAATTAGTTGTAACTTTGTATATTAATTTGTTAATTCAACATCAATTCATTTTCATATTATTTTAATTATATTTCATAGAAATTGTATCCCATCATATAATGAAATCGTTATTATATTTCATTTATTATTTCAATTCATCTTCCGTTCACAAAATAAACCTTTCCTATTTATATGGGCGCATAGAACGACCCCCGGCTACCTGTACCCACCGAGCGCCTGCAACCCTTGTGAGGCCGTGAGGAATTCCGTCATAATCGTTCAGAAATAAGATTTTAATCAAATAAAACCAGTGAGGCGTAAAACAAAGTGTACAGACCATTCTGCCCCCTTCGTTTACCGTCCAACGATAAAACGATAATTGAATTAGGCTGTTACATTGTCCCCTTAATCGAGCAACGCCTGGACGAAACGTTTACAGCCATTTGATGGAACGGCAAGAAGTTTGGAAAATATTTTATCACTGTATTCTTGGGAAACGTGAAATTATATTTTATAATATCATTCCACCTTAAAATTATAGGTGTTGTATATTTATATTTATCCGACTACAGCAAAAAGGAGGGTATTGTTTTACTAATGTATAATATATTTGATCTTTTGAAATTTCTTTATTTATTATAACAATTTGTATTGTTGTATCAGCCGTTAATTGATCACTGCTGAACATAACCTCCTCATAAGGGGAGTTGCCATGCTTGGCAGGCGAATTGGCAACCGCAGTTGGGCTTCTGGTAATGTCTTGAGAGGGATGCTGCTACCCATCCCTCAACCATAAGCTCCTTTAGTCGCTTTTCACGACACCAACGGGAAAGAAAGGGCTGGCCTATTCTACACTACAATTCTATCACTATTCTACTAATTCTGCACGGCAATTTGTATAATAGTAAAATAAGATTAGAGTCTTTTAAGCATATAAAGTCTATAGCAGATGTCCCTGTTCTTCCATAGCTTTTTTTTATACAACTTAGATGGCAAACAAGCTGACGGCCCACCTGATTGATAGTGGTAACCGTCGCCTATAGACATGAACAGTACCATGGACATAACAGAGTATACTGTTTCGCCCATGATATTTCCCATGCGTTGCCATTCCTGAGGACTCAGGTGTTATTCCTCTGTACCCAGTAAATTCACACCATATCCCACTCTTCAAACCGAAACAGCAATGCAAACACAGCTGTTTCAACCAACCCCAGGAATCGCACATTGTAGTTTCTAGATAAATCCTAAATAGGAAATACATTTTACAAGCCGAGCATTTGTAAGAAGTCTGAAACCGCACTATAGGTAACCATTTAGGTTTTAAGATAAGAAAATGAATTCTCTGATCATAGCGAGAGGTGAGATGATAAATCCATCTAGTTCAACATCAATATGCCATGTTAATTAAAAAATTTAGCCCATTTTAAAGGTCCATACATACATCGTATCCGTTCACTGGTTAAACAAACCAGTAACACATTCCTTTCTTTTGATGTGGCTTGTTTGTCCCCGCTTGTTGCACGCTCAGTCTACTTTCGCATTTCTTTGCGAACGAATTAAATAGGTCAGCGAATATTTACAGAGCACGATATACAATAGTGTATGTCCCGACCCAAATGGAATACCCTTTGATAGCTACCCACCTCAAATTGAAGGTTGGTATGAATGAACTGAAATCGTATTGGACTAGTCGAGTTTTACAGGCATCAATATATGTATATTGGTACTTATGTATCAAATAAATTGAATTATCGGAAGTGTGAATAGAGAGTGTGTGTAAATATACCTTATTTGCACGAGACATAATATGTTTGGACAAAAATAGTCACACTGCGTACTATAGGTATACAAGGATCATAGATTATAGACGGTTATACTAGCTCGAAAGGGTTGGATAATCTAAGCCTAGTGCTACTATTCATAAATTGATCAATTTTCTCCAAAGAACAAATACAAATTTTTATATTTTTTGAAATTTCTATGCATTTAGTATAAGAGAATGCCAAAATATTTTCAGATTTGACTAGTCTTTTGGGCCAAATTGTCCTGTTTCATTAATATCGTCATTCAAGTTTTAAGTAATTCTAGCTTTTACCCGCGACTTCGAACGCCAACCTGAACAACAACCTCCGGGGGGGAGAAATTGTTAGTAATGGAGACTAAGAGCTCTATTGCTAGCAATATACCCAACCAGGTCGACCTCCCCGTGGTCCCCCCTGGAAACCATCGTGCTGAGTACGAAGTGTGTTCATCGCGATGGGCTAACTCTCCTTCCTTTTTTCCTTCCCATCTATCATCCCTCACTGGTGCCCCGCCATTTGCGTTTGCGCAGGCGGGGTTACCATTCCATTATCATCCATTAAAAAACCAACAACATAATGTAGTGGTGAGCGCGTTTCTTTGCGTTCTATTTCCAGTCGAACCAGTTTAGAAAACGAACTTTTCTCAAGCTCAAGTGTGGATGTTATAGGTTGAGTCCTCAGATGTTCTTTGCCTGGTTCCTCTTCATGCAGGATATTCTCTAACTTGAGGACCAGGTAACTGGTATGATTATCACGGTTAGTACTTTCTACCACATGTACCGTCAACTTGTTTGCCATTCAAACCTGAATAAAAAAAAATCTTTGAAAACTTACGGATTGCCTTCATCGGGGTTCGGAGACAACATCCACTTGCTGTACTCGTCTTGAGCTTCTTTCACGCACGCCTTGTATCCAGCTTGGCAGAGGAACGTCTTAGTGAGTGAGCGAAGATTCTTACGCCAGTTCTCCTCGTCTTCTCTTTCGTTTTTCAGTTCCTCGTATAAAGGACTTAAAAGAGTTCGGACGTATGCCTGAATACAATTGAGATTTTACATTGCTATAATTCTATTGATTTGCAAAATGACTAATGTAGCCCCATATATTAACAAGCTGAAGTAGCAATGGAACGGTTAAGTAACCCTAACAAGTGACAATTATTTGAGTACAAATATATGAATGGAGACATCGTTTAAGAGGACTTCAAATGTGTTGCAGCGAGATAGAGAACATAGGTAGCTTAGGATCGTTCCCCGTGTTAAGATAGAAATTTAAATCAAAAAATAAATAAAAATGGAATATAAAGACACTTTTATATACGACTCAATATACCAATTAAACTGGTCACCAGATAAAATATTACACTGTTGTATTCTGTAATTACACTACCGTATCCGTTAGTTTCAAACCACATGAGGTTCTTTAAAAGTAGCTTAATAATTATAGTTCCTCAAGATAGGAACCGCGGACGTAACAATTTTGATATTCAATTGCAACTCCGTCTATTGAAATTAATCTAATAACAACCTTGGACTTTTCTTGTAGAAAAGTTATAGCTGAATGCCAAAAGCGTCTATTATTACATACATTCTGCCTTGTCCCATGTATTAAACTTTCATAACAGAAATAGAAATAGTTACCTGGAATTTCCCTTGTAAACACTGACACAAGTGTCTGCCAATATGGTCAATCATGGTAAACACAGGATCCCAAGCTATATGGTTTTTCTCTTCTTTCAGGAACAGAGTCATGTTTAAAGCAGTAGCGAAGGACAGCTCACCAGCGTAGGCGAGATTCCAAGCATCGTGAAGAAGCTTAGCCCGAGTTAGTTCGGGGATCGATTGGCGATTCTTGCCTTGAAGGTACTGAGACAGTAGATTCCAGTTTTCTTTATCATAATTTACTTGGAAGGGACCTAAAAATAATATTATTCATACTACTTGTATAGAAACAAACAACAATCCATCAAATGGAATGTAGTAAAGGTCACAAAAAGTCTTCTATCAAAAACTCAACAAATTTTGTCCAAAGAATGAAATATCCTTTGGGAAACAACAGTAAAAATTCGAACCATAGTAAAAAATTTAGAGGCTCTTTAACTTGATAACTTGACGCGCAGCATGGACAGTCTCAAAATTCTTTGTCATTTTTTTTATAGGGAAAATGTTTAAGTTCCCAATTAAAAAACTCTTTTAAAGAGATACCAATAAAATTTAAATTTCAACTTGTAAATTCTATACTGACACAAATTATTCGGTGTCGCTTCTTAACTAAGATGTTTTTTCTTCTTATTGCTAGATTTATAACGTTACTACATTTCTTACCTTTCAGATCAAATACAATAACGCACGCATTCCGCTTCATAGGAGAAATAGGTAACGAGGGTACCCGCTCACGCGAGTAACACAAACCCATTCTTCATTTCGATGGAAATTATACCTGATTCATATTATCGTTGTCTTTTTCCCCTATTTCTATTGTTATATCAACCGTTAATTGTCTATTGATGAACATAGGACCACCCCCATAAGTTTAAGTTTCCCCTAAATCCATACTTTATTTAGCTAGCTAAGTAATGTGTTCGTTTAAGTACCTTTCCTAAAATTTTTCATACACGTAATGTTTGCTATGGATATAAACATAAACTACATTCTACCTTGCCCTCAGATAAGTAACACTTGAATATATCAGTAGAATCACTTCAATTAGCGTATCTAACGGTTTCGTTAGTCACCATGAGTCTATAGATTGATTTTTTTACTAATAATCTAGGGGGGCTAGTCACATGGAGAAAATTCACAGCTCTGCTAGTAATATTGAAAATATAAAAGTTAATTTGCTTATTATCTTTTAGTGATTTAATATATTTTTTTTGTTGATTATTTTTGAAGGAAGCTTGCAGTTATGGTAAATTAATAATTAGATATATATGACAACAATAAGCTAATTAAAAGCTACCAAATATAATTAACGAAAATTGAATTAGTTACAGTTTAAATAATAAATATGCAAGCATAAGACTTTGTACAAATGTCGATTGCTTGAGTACCTCTGTCCTATTCGTATTTCAACCGTAAAGCAGTTGTGTTTGCATGGCTGTGTTTCGGTTTGAAGGGTGGGATATGGCGTGAATTTACTGGGTACGGAGGAATAACACCTGAGTCCTCAGGAATGGCAACTCATGATACCCCCCATGGGGTATCATGAGCGAAACTCTCTGCTACTCTGGTATATTCATGGTACTGCTCATGTCTATAGGCGACGGTTACCACTTTCCATCAGGTGGGCCGTCAGCTTGTTTGCCATTCTAAGTTGTATAAAAAAAAAGTTAAACGTCGTTAAAATCATTGAATACATAATTTACATTAGTTTTTCTTATATAACTGCTGTTACTGTTAAATATATCCATTTCATTGTCCGTAATACATACATTATTGAAAACAGTGGTTGCTTCTGTACTAGGTGCGACTCAGTAGATGCTTCGTCTAATCGTTTCCAAATTTAACATCCAAGTAACCTAACACACAAGTAATTTTACAGATGGACTATTTATTCTGGTAAATCTATATATCCTAGGTAAAGAGGTTTCTTCAGGGTCGGCAACGCACGCGATTGCAGGTGTTCATAGGCTACGGTAACCACTTATCATCAGGTGGGCCGTACGCTTGTTTGCCACCTCAGTGGTATAAAAAAAAATCCCAGTTAATTGGATTTCGCTAGTACTATAACTAAATAAAACCTAATCACTAATATAAGTTTGATAATACAAGGATCTTACCAATCTCCTCTGGATTCAGGATAATGAACTGATCTTTATTGGGCATGTTATTAAGCGTAAGTTCTTTCTTATCTAGCATCCAAGCTAATGGTGTAGCGTTTGTGAAGTTGAGCTTGTCTTCCCGAGCTATGATGATGGGTATCCACCATGACATGCGAGCCGCGTCCGGGACGTCATGAGGTCGCTCCCGTAAAAACACTTTCTGAAATATTGACCTTTTAATTCAGTAGTTCTTCGATAATTTTAAAACTTAGGGCATTGTTTGTTTGCTTTTATATCTAAAGTTACAATGTACAGTATTCTAAAAAAAATATGCTCTCATCATACATTTATATTTATTAAATTATAACTAAAGATTTTAGAGAAACAGTCCTTTATAAGCGAATAATAATTCCATAAAAGTAATTGGTTAATTGCAAACCTTCTATAGTTGGAAGCTACTGTCCAGTAGTTGACCAGAATTCGCTTATTATGATAAAGAATTATGAATACTATGTCTCCATTTCTCTGTATCTCCAGAACATCGTAAGAACAAACTAAACGTGGAGGTAACTAAACTAAATTCAAATGTGGAGATGAAAAAGATTAGAAACGATGTACAGAAAAAGTAACGAAAATGTAATGATAAAAATAATTGATAAATAATAAATAATCCACCAGAGGGAGACTTTGTACAAGAGTCGATTGTTTGGGTACCTCTGTCCCATTCGTGTTTCTAATGGCGTGAATTTACAGGGTACAGAGGAATAACACCTGAGTCCTCAGGAATGGCAACGCATGAGGGGTATCATGGGCGAAACAGTATACTCTGTTATGTCCATGGTACTGTTCGTGTCTATAGGCGACGGTTACCACTTTCCATGAGGTAGGCCGTCAGCTTGTTTGCCATTCTGTCATATAAAAAAAAAATATCTTTCTCTCATTTGCTCTATATTGACTATATTCTTAATGTCCTTATATGTGGAACCAAGCTTTTATTTTATTTGATCTAGGTAATTATTTCTTGGTATTATACTTTATATCTTGCTCTCTAAGATTTTATTTATGTAGTTGTCATCTTGTGTAAGGTAACCAACGTTTTGCCTCTTTTAATCTCAATATTTTTTTTATACGACTTAGAATGGCAAACAAGCTGACGGCCCACCTGATGAAAAGTGGTAACCGTCGCCTATAGACATGAGCAATACCATGGACATAACAGAGTATACTGATTCGCCCATGATACCTCCCATGCGTTGCCATTCTTAAGGACTCAGGTATTATTCCTCTGTATCCTGTAAATTCACTGAATTAGTTGCCATGACAAATCATAAAAAAGCCATACCTGGGTGAGTAATACAGAGTTAGTGTCATATTTCCTCTGAGCGGTAACCAACGGTAGCCTGTCCTTTTCAATCCAGCTTTTAGCAATTGTCTTTATGTCGAAGTCTTTTGGTATCTTCCCGTCTTGAACAGCGGCAGTAGTCAGAGCATTCCAAATATCGTCACCAGTGAATGTTTTAAATTTACTGTACAAGAATACATAAATTTTACTAAAACTTATATTCTTATTTCTACTATACTCAGGTATAAGCAGTATTTATCATCATCATCGTATCAACTGTCAACTGTACGGTGTTTAACATAGTCTCTTTCTCTAGGCTTTGCCAGTACTTGTCACGCTTGACATTTATTCTAACCAAAGGTTGCATGAATTGAATCATGCAAAAGTACAAACAGCTGCTGCATTTTGAATGGCAGAGTTTTAATTTAAAGAGTGAGCATGTACTAGAGATTAAAGAAAGCTTTCTTTACACAATCGTCCATTAGTAAAATATTAAATCCTACCGTGTTTCAATGAACATCCTCAGTCCCTTCTTGAAGGTGTCCCCTCCTAGTGTATAGTTGAACATTCTAAACAACAGTTCTATCTTGGTGCATGCGGTCTCCTGCTTCATGCCGGTGATACGCGAGTGCGGATACCGTTTACCAAACTCGTAGTACAAGGAATACAGTACTGTCATAGGCCACTTGCCTTCCATTTCCGAGCCATCGTTGATCTAAAATTATTTGTAATATAATAATATATTTATTTATATCTCTTCACAAACAACTTCAATTTACACGTGAGGTATTTAGGATAAAATAAATTTAAAATAATATGGAACTCTGCTGTGAGGAGCTGGTGTCTGTAATAGGTTAAAACCTGTAGTACTGATCACCAGGCCCCCAACCGATATGTGTTTAAATAATAATTAAACAAAATACATTCCACTGAAATTACACAATCTAAAAATAAAAATAAAAACAATAATTAATAGTAGGAGATAAAAGAACCAACAATAAATTAATATTGAAAAATGTGTGCGTGTGTGTGTGAGTGTGTGTGTGTGTGTGTTTGTGTGTGCGCGCGCGCGCGTATGTGTGGATGTGTGTGTACGTACGTGCAAGTGCGTGTGTGTGCACCCTTTCAAGTTTATTAAATCCTATGTTAAATAATGTAATAAAGAGAAAGGATTTTAATTGTTTATTTGTAATCCTCATCATCTTCCTACCCTTATCCCAATTATTATTTGGGGTCGGCGTAATATGTTTTGTGTCCATATTATAAAAAGATTTGGCTTATAGTTTTACGACCGGCCGCCTGCCTGACGTCAACCTTTTTTTGGGAATGCATTTGTTGGTGATTTCCTCCACTTACGGTATGGAATAAAGAATCGAGCAAAAAAGGGAAGGATGTTTATTTGTAATAGATAAACTTAAAATACTGAGCCGATTTTAAAAATTCTTTGGCCTATCTACCTAGCTACCTTATCGACGAGTGTATTTAGGCTATATTTTATTTTACAAAAACCGTGCGAAGTCGGGTTCAGACGTTACTACAATACAAAAATATTAGCCATATCAAATAAGACCCTGTATTCTATATATCTTATGATTTAATTTACAAAAAATTGTTACAAACAAACAAAATTTAAATTTCATTTAAAAAAGTCTTCAATACAAAAGTTCCATGTTTTATTTCAATTTTGAAAAATATTTCATAAATTTTATTTATGTCGAAATGTCAATACTTTCTTATACAGAAGCTGTATACGAAAACAGCTTCATTTTATAACTTTATTTATTAACTGACTATGGGAAATAAGTCACTTTGAAAAGGAACAACAAGCTATGAAAGCTATGAAAAACTATATGCTCAGATTATATGCTCTTTGAATCTAGACTAGCATTTAAAATCAGCCAGTCTTATTTTTTCAAATCTATCAATTGGAACTATTAAAATAGTCTACATTTCATGTAACATAGAGTATTTAAGATTGAATATAAAAAAAACTAAATTTAATTTAATTTATTTTTATTTGAAAATTTCAAGTAAACATAGTTTAAAGTCTACAATATGCCATATCGGGATTTCCGCTCTTACTCTGTGCTACCATACGTGTATCTTTCAATACTAATCGAATTTAATAACCGCTACTTTACATCTAAGAGTATCTTACCTTAAAAGCTACTTCTGCGGCCAGATAACCCACTAACGCTTTGTTGAGATGTGCGTCCGACCACCATGCCGGAGTAGTGAGAGCTCCGAGCCATTGATAAGATAACTCCTGAGCTAATTGGAAATAACCTTTATTGCTCAAATCACTCTCCCTGCAAAAAAAGAATTACATTAAACGAATATACCATACCATAACAACTTATTACTACCTACACAATATATATATATATATATATATATATATATATATATATATATATATATATATATATATATATACATAGATGATAAATTAGAATAACACACAAGTGGAAATAAGGCACAAAAATACCTACGACTGAAGCAAAAAGTGCAATTAAAAAGCAAAAGAAATGAATAAAGAGAAAAAAGAAAGTTTAATTTAAATTTAATTAAAAAACATCGTGTTAAATTAAGTTTTTTAGGAAGTGAACTCGTAGTTTATACTTAAAGGTAGATTTGTTTTTAATAGATTTAATGTCAAAAGGTAGTGCATTCCACTATTTAATGACCTGAGTGGTAAAGGAATAAGAAATTAACCCAGTGTGATGAGCAAGTATCTATATTTCTTGCAAATATCTATACTATAAGTGAATATACGAAAGCATATAAATAAATAAAATAAATAAATATAGTAACAAAGATTAAACAAACAATGTTATGTTAGTTTCGTTATTTGGAGAAGATGGATAAAGGAAGAATTCAATTTTAGTTTTATTGAACATGAAGGGACGTATGTCGACCAAAATAGCTTACTTTTTTTTTATACAACTTAGTTTATGGCAAACAAGCTGACGGCCCACCTGATGGAAAGTGGTAACCGTCGCCTATAGACATGAGCAGTACCATGGGTATAACAGAGTATACTGTTTCGCCCATGATATCCCCATGCGTTGCCATTCCTGAGGACTCAGGTGTTATTCCTCTGTATCCAGTAAATTCACGCCGTATCCCACCCTTCAAACCGAAACACAGCCATGCAAACACAACTGCTTGACGGTTGAAATACGAATGGGACAGAGGTACCCAAGCAATCGACTTTTGTACAAAGTCTCCCTCTGGTAGAGGGCACGTACTGATAAAGGGCAAAATTATAAGTACTCGTAACCGGTGAAGTTGTATGAAATGTATGACTTGAAAGGACTGCTTGAATTAAAGCATTTTAAGTTCTACTGTTTCTGATCGCCCGGTGAGAGACAGGCGTGATTTGTACGTATAATAAAACTATAAAGGGCGACTGTCTGTACATAGAAGAAAAAACGCTAAAAACCGATTCAATGGGCTGTTAGAAGTGAAATAAAATTTTAAATTTTTAAATTTTTTAAATTTTTAAAACTCATTTAAAACAGATTTTAAAATTTTTTTGTGTCTCTTTTTATCTGTTTCTACGGGCTTGTTTACGAAATTATTGAACCGATTTAAATGAAATTTTGCATGGTGGTACTTTACATCCCCGGTCAACATTTTAGATTTTAATCGCCGAAAATTAAAGAGTTTCCATGGGATAGTTAAAAAAACTATAGTAACTTATATAGCTTAGTACACAACCTACTTAAATAAAGTCATTTTGACCTGAGGCAAAAAGAAAATGACACGTCTTCACTACAATAAGAAGGTTAAAAATGTTAATCAAAAGAATAACAAATACTACGCGGGCAAAGTCGCGGACATCAACTAGTAATAAACAATATTATTATATACACACACTTTACCAAAACCAATTTCGATATTATATACCATGATCTTTGATCATGTAACTTCTGAAAAGAAATTTATGCTGGCTCTGGCAATCATGTCTTGAAAGACAAAGTAAAATTACGTCGAAAGTGAAATACTCCAATCAGGTATTCCCAATATACTTGTATTTATCTTTAAAAAGTTAATTTTAAACAGTAACAAGCCAATGGCACTTGTAAATGGTGTTTTATCAGTAACCTCGTGACGCCCCACCACTATTTACATAGATAATTTATTTGAAGGCGATAATTCTAAACTTGGACTAGCCTTGGACTTAGTAGTATATGACCCTTCTTCAGACTTTGAAGGTTGTCTATGTATAACCATGTTCCAATTTTAACCAACATAAAAAATGAGGACATTTCCACTACACTTTTTATCTGAGAACTTTTTTCAATACTGACAATAGTAACCCCGACTACACTATCGGTTTACACTTATATGAGCTGGCGAGGAACTGGTGAGGGATGATATGTAGATAAAGAAGAAAGCAGGTCATTTAGCCTAACGTGAAGAACCCACCAAGAATTAATCACGGTGGTTTCCAGGGAGGAACTGCATGAAGATCAAAATACCCCAAATTGTTAGCACTAGCTAGTCCTCGTTACTACAAAATCTCTTCCCTTCGTATCTGAATTATTTTAGATCGAAAATCAAGTATCGAAAAACCCAAGAAATGAAAAGCAAAATCCGTCTCACTACGTCATGGACAAGATCAAAATAGATGGATTAGAAATGAATTATTTATGAGCATCATACGAATTAATATTCTTCTTAACTCTCTTCAATCGTATACTTTTGACAGAGTGGTCGTAGTTTTTATGATTATACTGGATTGTCGGTGAGGCTCTTCTTCGCGATTGAAATCCTCACAATGTGTCTCTATCTATTTCTGCTCACAGCCGAGCGAGAACATTCCACAGTGACTGTTGTGTGGCTGTTTTGATAAGGTCAGTCATTCGCGTTGGTGATCTACCCCGAAAACTTTTAGCGACCCTTGGACAAATAAACGTTCCATACAGTTTTCACTTAGAATGATATGGCTTTATGGCTCCTTATTTTATTAAACAAAAATAGATACGCGATATTTTTGCAAATTCCAAATCAATATTTAGATCATTTTTATATTAAAAGTTTTACTCCCATGTTGATTTATTCGCACCAATTCTGTCAACAAGATTGGAAAGCTTTTAAAAACCTTAAATTACTTTATTGACTAGGACTCACTTGAAAACAATAAGACCCCAGTTATCAGCAGGTTTCACACCCTGGTAGTTGGGCAGGGCGACGATGTCCAAGCGACGGAGGGGCAACGGCACCTCCCACAAGCCAGCTATCTCGGTGAACACGCGGAAAACTTTCTCGTTAACCCCTTCCAAAGCCGGCAGGAACTCCGGCCGGCCCCATACGCGGAATTCTGAAACAAAAAGTAATTTAAACAGGTTCGCAACTAGAAGTTATGTTACTTCTTGAACATTTGTAATAACATATGAATAAACTAGCTGTTTCCCGTGACGCTGCACGCGTGAATCGCTATATAAAATATCCTGTGAGTTTTTTTGGGTATGGAATGGTAGCCCCACCCGCGCTATCGGTATACAACGGCGGGGCATCAGTGAAGGATGATAGGTGAGGATGAAACAGGTCAGTTAGCCAATCGTGACGAATTCAACGAGAATTGTTCACGATGATTTCCAGAGGGAACTACGTGGAAGTCGACCTAATAAGGTATATTGCTAGCAATGGGGCTATCGAATTCCATTGCTAACAGTCCCTAAAGTAACGCGTTAGTGAAAACCACATTCAAATCAGTTAAGCCCTTTGTGAGATTAGCGTGCACAAACGTACAGACAAACAGATTAACAGACAAAAATTCTAAAAATCGTTTTGTGTTTAACTGCGTTCATAAAGCCCCTCTATAATAATTTTTCTTATATATCTTCCATGTACAGACAACGAGCAGTTACGATTTTATTATATGGGTTGATTTACGGGAGTGTTCATTTTACTCGTATCCGGATATCGTATATGGACAGAGTCCTTAGTCGTAAATTAGTCGTAAATTGGTCATAAAAAAGGTGAATCTTGTAATAATTAGTACATAGATATATTTAAAAGGTCAAGGGGGAGGGAAAGTCAGCTTAAATGTCTTAATATTTATATAAGGTGACCCTACAGGCAGATTCAAAACTAGTGATATGGACCTAAACCACGCAACGCACTGAATATAACTGACAATCCTACTCATTAGGAGGAGAGATTGTTAGTATGCGGATTATTAGTCCCATTGCTAACAATATACCCTAACAGGTCGACCTCCCCGTGGTTCCCCCTGGAAACCATCGTGCTGAATTCCAAGTATATTCATCACGATGAACTAACTGATATGCCTTTTCATCCTCACCTATCTATCATCCCTCGCTGGTGCCCCACCAGCGTATACCGTTAGCGCAGGCGGGGTTACTATTCCATTATCATTAAATTTACTGGGTACAGAGGAATAACACCTGAGTCCTCAGGAATGGCAACGCATGGGGGGTATCATGGGCGAAACAGTATACTATGTTATGTCCATGGTACTGCTCATGTCTATAGGCGACGGTTACCACTTTCCATCAGGTGGGCTGTCAGCTTGTTTGCCATTCTAAGTTGTATAAAAAAAAATTAAAAAAATCCTACTCATTTAGCTACAGAAAAATTGGCTACGACGATTATACTAATAAAACGCCTAAAGATCGCCAACTTCTTACCGTAGTAATAAAATAAATATTATATTAGATAGATAGATAGATAATTTATTTGCATTACTTACAGCACACAAACAGCAAAAGATACAAATGCAAAGTGAAAAAAGATACATGTACAAAAAATAAAATAATAAATCAAAAACAAAATCAGAATGCATAAAATTAGTAATTTTTTTTTTCTCTTCATGCGTGTGCCACAGTAATACAAAATGGCCACAACTCAGCTTTTTGCTTTGCCCTAAAAAATATTATGTTTACCCGAATTATCAAATAAAGAAGAATATTTTTTTGCGTGTCTCTATGTACTAGATTAAATGATTATTAAATATATGACGTTAAATAAACAAATAAATTACGTAGGCAAATACCATTTTGTTAAATAAACCAGTTAATAACCTTTCCAATATTAAAATCTTATGACAGTTACTGGGCAGTAAGACAACCGGGCTCATTTCAAATTAATGCCTAATACCCGTTACGGGCAATTCCCACCAAGTTTTAAAATTAATTAACATTTAATGTCGTTCATTTTGTAACGACAATATGTACCGAAATGTTGATGGAGTTACGCTTCAAACAATTACCTCTTTTAGTGCTCTTTTGTTCCTAAAGTTAATCTCTCACTTCAAAAGGAGATCAAATTATTTTACCCGAAAATTATCAGATACTGTTTGGACTGGATAGCTTTTTAATTATGTAAAAAATCGATACTTCTTACCTAACTGTAGTAGTCGGTAGTTTTAACAAAATTTAGTTAACTTTTCATTAAATTCTATTGAAATAGATTACGTATACTCTAACTCCCTAGAAAATCGTATACTTGAGATAGAAAGAGACAGCAGGTCCGGCGTCCTATTTTATCTTATGCATGCTGTAGCATAACCGTACCTATTGACATATTTGCGAGCTATTTATCTAGGCCGTCTACCATACTCACCAATGTCATTGCCATTATCATCTTTGTAACACGTGGAATTGCCCAACTGCTTCAAGTCAGCGATGACAAGGCCCAGTGTGAATGTAGACATAGGTGGCGTCTTCTCAAAGTGGTCCCACACCGCGTTTGGTTCTCCGGTTCTATAATTATATTCAAATAAAAAATCCTAATTTATTTATTTATTTTAAAAGGCAATTTTGAATGGCAAACAAACTAAACACAAATTTCCATAGTTAGATCTTATCTGCACATTTTTTGTCAAGTTTTGAGAATATGGTAGAAATGTAGCTGCAAGGGGCCTCCGGAACCAGGTAAATTTTGAAAAATGTCAATGAGAAAAAAGTCTGGGTAGCTTATGAACGCCTGCAATACCAGGGGCATTACGCGCGCGTTGCCGTTTCTGGATCCATTTAAATATTCAATCTACCTCCGTTATTTGGAAAATTTGGACTACCGGTACAAATCATCAACATATTTCTATACAAACTACGGAATTCCGTATAAATTAGCTTAATATAAGTTAGCTTTGAGTGTGGCCACAATCGATATCAAAGGTATGTTTTACAAATATATTACCTTAGTTTCCATCTATTTATAATATAAAAATGAATCACTAAATGTGTTGCTAAGCGCAATACTCAAGAACAGCTGAACCGATTTCGCTAATTCTTTTTTTTGGAATATTCCTTGAAGTACGAGGATGGTTCTTACGGAGAGAAATATTTAAAAAATTGCCTGCAAAAGTCTAAAAACAACACTTCTCTATACTCCCATACAAACGATTCGTAATAGTACGTAAAAGTCAATTTGAACTTTAATACCATACCATAAAGTTTAAGTGTTAGTGGAGAGGTTCCGGGAAGTCAAATCAATTGAGTGACGTGCCACGGCGTGTTTTATAATTTTTCTGTTTTCACATAATGTAATTGTTGACTTATTAACTATCTTTTTTCTTTTTTTATCTTACTAGCTGACCCGGCATCCCGAATAGCAGAATACTTATTAAAAAAACTAAAAAATTTAAGAATCGACTGATTGGCGGTACTAAGTTCGCGTGGTTATCTAGTTTAAAATATTTATATAAATATTTTTATATATAAACACAATCACAATAATGTATTTAAATTTAGGTCAAATGAAATATAAAAAAATGCCTATTACAGCTAATATAATAATTTATTTAATTTAATAAATACTTTCTAAATATTCATTTATTTTTTATCTATCTACTCGTGCGAAGCCGGGGCGGATCCTAGCGATCCGATATCCGATGCAATATAATACTTCAACAACAACAATATCGATCGTTTAAACTTTTTATGAATAAGGAAGTAATCTTTGTGATTATTTCTGTTTGTTCTATTTTTAATTTCGTTCCTTAATCGTAATATTGGATCCTTCTATTTACCATTTCTTTTAATTTAAAAAAAATAAAGTGCATTCACCTTTAAACTGGCATATTTGCTAGCCAAAACAAGTCAATAATATTTATTTCAAAGATCTTAACACGGAATATGTTTTATTCATTTAACCACAAAGCATTTCTTTAAATTCTAAAACCTCAAATTACCTTAGTGGACATTCTAAATAAGTTTACAAAGTCCCATTCCGAAGTAAGAAGCTCTCTGTCGACTGAGTGGCCACACACTCTCATTTCATTACGCTGGATGGGATCCAAGGTAAGTGCCTTACTATTCTCTGAATTTGAACCCCGGGGATTGCCGTAATTCTTTACACCTTAATAGCGGTACGGGTAATGATTCTAGACATATTGGGAGAAAATATTTTCTAGATAAGGATCATTAAAAACAAACCGACTGTAAAGATAATTACACGTTCCATTTCTTTTTCTACAATAAAATATATTGTTCGCACTGAGATGGAATAATTAATGATTTTTTTTTATACTACTATAGTGAATTTACTGGGTACAGAGGAATAACACCTGAGTCCTCAGGAATGGCAACGTATGGAGGATATCCTGGGCGAAACAATAAACTCTGTTATGTCCATAGTACTGCTCATGTCTATAGGCGACGGTTATCACTTTCCATCAGGTGTGCCGTCAGCTTGTTTGCCATTCTAAGTTGCATAAAAAAAATACGTATTAAATACGAATATGTTTTCGATTCTCTATATTTAAGCACAGTGTACATTGACCGGTAATCTCTCCTTTGTCGCTAGTAGTTAATAATAACAAAGTCACTATTATAATATATTACAAAACCAATTACTTTAATCTATAAACTCAAGTACTGAACAGGTTTTGATAAAATTTCTATAGAACCAATCTGTAAGTATATACTTTCAGATAAAAAAAGAATATTCCAAATTGATTTAGAACTGACGGAGTTATGAGGTAACAAACATAAAAGTAACACAACCGAAGTAAGAACCTACTTCTTTTAAAAATGAGTTTGTTTCTTATGTCTTCTAATATTAACGAATCATCATGATATTTGGTACACACTCAGTACTTGGGACATAGAAGAATATAGATTCCATTTTATTCTGGTGAATCAATTTAACATCCAGGATAGGAAACTTATAATGAGCTTTAAAATCATAGAGAAATGAGGCCAGATTTGTTTTTGGCATTAGAAGCATAGACAAAAGAGACCCGTTTGTACACACATGACCTAAACTTCTCAAGTTTTTAAAAGCACCGGAGCGAATTTTTTTTAGAATATCGTTTGTCTAGAATTCCACTCGTATTTCAAAGCAGCTGTGCACATAGCTGTGTTTTGGCTTGAAGAATAGCAGTAAAATTACAGGGTTCGGAGGCCATTCCAAGTTTTTTTTTTTAAACATTAGGGTTATTATTAGCCCCCGAGTTACGCTAACGAATTAAAAGTACTTATTAATATAAAGCGATCTCACATATCCTCAGTCCTGGCCACGGGTACATTGCTCAGCGCGATCATAGTCCTGGGACGAACTACACTGAGCTCGAACGGCGTCTTGTATCCGGGCTCGTCGAAGCACGGAAACATCCTCCTGGCGTTGTTTGGACGAAGTTGAGTTGCCGCCACTATCCTACAATAACATTGATGTTACTAGAGTAGTCACTGTCACAATAAAAACCAGTAAAAGTGGTGAGTGCTCGGAAAATGCTTGATTGCTGTCGAGCAGGGCCATAGTTAAACCCGAGGGCAAAATATATTTTTGGTAGGACAGAAGCCTTTAATGGAATTAAGTGACTTTGAAAAAGGGTATCTGTCTAATTTTCTTAAGGCCTTTCATTTTAAGGTACAGCATGGCCCCTCAAGGCCCCCCCCTCTCCCCTAGCTACGGCCATGCTGTCCAGAGATCCTAAGACCAATTTTTAGTTTATAACTCAGACTTTTCAAAATATTTAAATCATCTTTCTATCTATACTGTATATAAACGTCACCTATTCGGCATTTTTTTATTCAAATACTACCTGCCCGCCAAAATACTAATCAAGTGACCATCTGAACATGAATCTTAAAAATCAAGGGTTAAACCTTGAAGTTTATAAGTATTCAAAAATAGACAAATAAACATTTATTCATTTTCCTAAACTTTAGACATGACTAGAAAATATTATCTATTAATCTGTATAAGGAAAAATCCCTAAATATCATCACCATATATATAGGCCTTCCTCATAAGGGGAGTCTTGCTATTAGTTGCCACCCTTGGCAAGCAAGCAGCAATTTTTAACCATTGTTTTAAGAGAGACGCTGCTACCCTTCCCTCAAACATTGTGTTCCCTTAGTCGCCTCTTACACCCACGAGAAACGAAGAGATTTCTCATTCCATACCAGAAACACACGGCAATCGATATTTCATAAACAATCCTAATTTGTATTTTTTTTTTCGAAAGTTGTCACAATATTAATAATCTACAATATCTGATTGGACACTTTGTACATTCTATGCATTTGTACAATTTACTGACTCGATCGAATGATTACTCTAAAATAGTTTACTAGGAAGAAATATTTCCTTTAGTTAAACATATCTTTAGGTCTCTATATACTGCAGATAAAGTTATGTATCAGATACTACATTGATGTTAGTAACAGCAAACCCTCATGCGAACTCGAACAAATAAATATAAGACGCGTGCAAATAACTCGTCAGATTTACAGCCCACTAAAGAAAGATAAAGGGGTCGAAATTCCGCATCGCCATTCCATCTCGGAGCGATCTAATAACGCTGGCTTGAATTAACGCGGCCTCAACTGAATACAAATACGGTTATCAAGTGCAATCTTCACTTACTCTTGTATTGACTTCGATTCTGATACAGTCATATATTTGGTGCGACGATACAATCCCATGATAACAAGTAAGAGAGATCTGTTGTCACTCGTGTTCAAATTTAGAACAATTTTTTTTTTTGGGTATTGTCACCAATCTAACATATTTATGTTAACTATATTAATATATAATTTATTTATATATACTATTAAATAATAATCATTTAGATTCGGAATAACATCTATAGCAATTTTTATGGTTTGACGATAGTAAAGGCCGTCAGCGGTTCATAAATCAATTGTATTCTCAACTCGATATTTCGCCCTCTTCTTAAATCGATCGTACCTACTCTTAACTCGATTTCGAAAATAAATCATTCCTTCGCTCGAGTGAATAATCTTTTTGGCATGAACATTTTAAATATTTCACTGAACTGGGTGTTGTTTTGCGGAAGTCCACATCACTGGGTATTTGTTTAAAATTATTTTGTTTAATTCCACTACCAATAAATTATATGATAGCTGAATTAAACAAAATAATTCTAATCAAATAATTAATAAACATTTTAAATGACTAGTATTCAGTAATTTCACTATCATAACCATACTTTTTAAATTATATCTTAGCAAGTATTAGTATTGATCTCTGAATTAATAGGAAAAATAAAAATGAAAGACTGCATAAATTCTCTCTGTGATAAAATTGAAGAATCTAAAGTATTCTACAAAAATACAGTACGAGTACTTATATTTTATAATGTCGACGGTGCTGTTCATGTTTATATACGACGGTTACCGCTTTCCATCAGGTGGGGCGTCAGGTTGTTTATCATTCTGTGTAACATTAAAAAAAATCTAAAATTTTATCAGAAGGATTTAGTATTACTATTAAAGTTAATCAATACCTCTCGACTTCTTGCTCTGTAGTGTACGTAGACTTGAAGAATGCCTCAGTAGACGCTGTCTCCAAGTTACCATTGAAGCTGAAGTCCAAATGGCCTTTGGAAGATTTGGGCACCACCTTCTCAAGGTGTATAGTAACGATTGGCTTCTTTGGGTCTGCAGTTAACTCCTTCACAATAATTTTGTGTACTTCTTTTCTAAAAATATACACTTTTACTTAAGTACAATAATTATGTCAATTGGTATAATTTATAAGTCCATTTTAAAAATTAAGAGTAAAGAAAACCGACAGTCTTTAATCATGAAATACTCAAAATAAATATCAGTATTTAAATAAATTGATATCTATTAAAATATGCTTCAAGTGGATATAAATTCTACGATAAAAAGATGTAAAATTATTATTTTTTAATAATATTATTAAGTTTAGCTGTACGATTTTTACCCTTGAATATTCTATAGTTTTCTTTCAGCTTCTCAAATGTTACCTGTAAAAAATCCCTCTATGGGATAAGATAGTCATTGTATATTAAATCTTTTATTGCGTCCGATGTAAATTATGTACAATAAATATTTTACAATAAAATACAAAAAACTGAGTTCAATTATAATCAAATTAATTAGATTAGCTATAAATGTTTTTTTTTTTAATGGGTGATAATGGAATGGTAACCCCACCCGTTATTACCAGTAAAGGATAATAGGTGAGGATGAAGCAGGTCAGTTCATCGTGAGAAATTCAAGAAGAATTGTTCACGATGGTTTCCAGGGGGAACCACGTGGAGGTCGACCTAATATTGCTAGCAATGGGGCTGTCAAACTCCATTGCTAACAATCCCTTTCCCCCCGCTATGAATGTTTATAGCAATACGTATACATTGTCAGATTAATTTCCACGTGGTCTCCCTGGAAACCATCGCTTTTAATTCATAGTCACGATGGGTGGAATGTTGTCGGTCAAATGACCTGACTTTTTCCCTTTCATCCTCAACTATCATCCCTCACTAGTATCTTGCCAATAACACAGGCTACCATTTCATTTTCATCTATTGAAAAAGGTATAGTCAATTAGAAACTTGCTTTTTTGAAATCGGCGACATTAAAAAGAGCAAAAATCACTTACGAATCAGCGGGTATATGCGCTCGAACTTCCGTATTGGTGATCTCGATATCATGAGCGGAGTGCACGGTGATCTCGTCAGCGTCTTGCAACCACGTGATGTTGATGCTGACGTGGCCTTTGAAGAGGCCGTCTTCGAGGTACGGCTCCAGCTCTAGCCTGTAGCCTGTCGGTTCCACAGACTTCTCTAGCCGACTCTCCATTGCAAGCCCGTGGGCATTGTTGAGATCTATGCTTCGTGTTTTTATTATGTGGAACGCTGATACCTAAGGATTAAGTTTGAAAAATCAGGCTGTAAAGTCATCGTCATCGTCATCATAGCAATACCAGTGAAAGAATTTGTACAGAAGTCCACGTGAGTGCCTCTGTCCCACTTGTGTTTCTGGCGTCATCCCGAAATACAACATTTGTTATATTTTAGGGGGTCATTTCAATTTAAATAATAGAGCATGGCTGTGAAATTTCATTCTGCAGAAGTATGATATTTTTTTTTTATACAACTTAGAATGGCAAACAAGCTGACGGCCCACCTGATGGAAAGTGGTAACCGTCGCCTATAGACATAAGCAGTACCCTGGACATAACAGAGTATACTTTTTCGCCCATGATGCCCCCCATGCGTTGCCATTCCTGAGGACTCAGGTGTTATTTCTCTGTACCCAGTAAATTCACGCCATATCCCATCCTTCAAACTGAAACACAGCTATGCAAACACAACTGCTTCACGGTTGAAACACGAATGGGACAGCGGTACCCAAGCAATCGACTTTTGTACAAAGTCTCCCTCTGGTTAAAATCCTTAGAAAGTATCATAGTACCTTCCTCATCATCATATCAGCCGTTAACTGTCCACTGTTGAACATAAGGCTGAAAAAGAAGGTTTTGTCAGTAGTTGTCACGCTTGGCAGGCGAGTTGACAACTGCAGTTATGCTTTGGTAATGTTATAAAAGGAATACTGCTGCCCATCGTTCAACTATTAAGCTCTCATAGCCCCCTCTTACAAGACACCCATGGAAAAGGAAGCCATTCTATACCGGGATATTTATTATATTTATTATATACATATATATTTTAATTTTATCACATATAGGGTATAATATTTCAATTTTGTCTCAATAACACACTACCATATCGACGGAACATATAAAATCATCAATGTACTATAATATACTATGCACTAGCGTGATCTAGAAATCCCGCAGAGAGACTCAAAATAGGTTTTTAACGACGTCAAGAGCCGATAACAAGGTGAGCTTCGAACAGGATGCGAATACTCTAGTGCTGTAGCAGCTTCAGAGGCGGAAGTCAGCCGCTCGGGGCCCCAAACATTGCTACGAGGGATCCCGCAATCTATAACGATGTTAGACGTTGTGTTCCAACAATTTAATACCACAACAGATAATATAAAACTATACTAGATACCACTACCTTTAGACTGTATTCTATTTCATGTTATAAAATGGTTTCTTTAGCAATTTGGAGAGCTTATCAGATAATGGCTGTTAAAAAATGGGTAATTATCGTCACACCCAGATAATTCAAATACACACACGAATATGTTATGTTCAAATGTTTATATTACCCGGGAATCGAACCCATAACTATCAGGAGGTGAGACGGTGTATATAACGGAACTACATTATGTAATCATAAAATACAATTATGATACTTCATGCGTTTTTTTTTATACAACTTAGAACGGCAAACAAGCTGACGGCCCACCTGATGGAAAATGGTAATCGTCGCCTATAGACATGAGCAGTACCATAGACATAACAGAGTATACTATTTCACCCATGATACCCCCCATGCGTTGCCATTCCTGAGGACTCAGGTGTTATTCCTCTGTACCCAGTAAATTCACATGCGTTTGCAATACCTGAGGACTAAGTCGCAGCCCCTGTAGATCCGTGATCAAGACTTTGATTGTAGACATTTCTTTAACTTCGAAATAGGCGAAATATAAATATCAGATATAGCAGTGAAATTTCAGGGCACGGAGACTTAAGCCTTTTTTAGTCCTCAGGAAGAGCCTGCGTGAGGGATATCGTAGTTGTCACGTCACTGTCGTCACGACCGGTATAAAATGGGCATGACGTCGAGATAATCCAAGTATGTTATTATAGTTACCATTATAACGGCGTTAATTCCCATTTCTTATAAAACTTAAGATGAAACCGTTCTTATCTATGGGCGACAGTAACCATTTTCCATCAAAAATATCAACTAATTATTTACCTTTCCAAGTTGTATTAAAATGTTTCTTTTATTATTAACAGATAACTAGCCTTACTAAGCGACATGTGCCCACAATTTTATAGGAATTATTTTGGAATCTGAATCAGTCACCTTGTGATACTCACCCTTAGATATAGATAGAGTGTCGATCCTAAAAAACGAGTAAATTTTTTGTCAGCTAATTGTCAAGTTAGCTGACTTGCTTTTTTTTCAGTATTCTATATACTTACGCATAAAATATATCTTAACGTAATTAATCTAAACGTCTTTAATAAATAAAATAAGTACGGATTAACATGATGCAAAAATTATAAGACAAAGTAATTTTTATTTATTTTTTTTATTTATTTATTTATTAAATACAAGAAATTTACAACGCGAGTTCATTGGACCCGACACTAGACGAGCCTGTATCGCGGGAGTCCATAAGAGATTACCAAGACATGGTGATTTACAAATAGGTATAAATTAAAATAGAAGTTATATAGGAATCACTTATAACTATGTCACGCAAAAATGTATGAAAAAGTTGATCCGTTTTTCTCGAAGTATTTCTATGGAAACACTCTATTTTTATAATCTAAGTACCCACCTTATCCGGCGGAAGGCTATGGACCACGCTGAAGCAAAGGCATAAAAGACCGGTTAGTGTCAGCATGGCGTGTGCTTTCTTCTTCGGTCCTAATAAAAGAAAAATATTATGTACACGTAATTTTTTTAGTAATCTTAATACTAGTTACAAATACTAAACTACTACTCCGAAGAATCGTTAAAAAAAAATATTTTGGGAATGGACATTAAATGTTATAAGATACCGAAGTATATTTTGGATCTATCTTTTAATAAATTGAATTTACTGGGTACAGAGGAATAACACCTGAGTCCTCAGGAATGGCAACGCATGGGGGGTATCATGAGCCAAACAGTATACTCTGTTATGTCCACGGTACTGCTCATGTCTATAAGCGACGGTTACCACTTTCCATCAGGTGTACCGTCAGCTTGTTTGCCATTCTAAATTGTATAAAAAAATAATTAAAAACACTTATTAAGCAAAATTTATTCACTAAACTATTACTTGAATGACAAACGGTTGTTAGTCGAGCATGCACATGCTTTTAAGTGATCATGTTATTTTAAACATAGTAAATACATTTAAATAAATACAAATAATGTTAACTGAGATTTAAAAGAGTAACTGTGGGTTCATGCGGGTTTTCTTAGTAGGTAACAATATTCCGAACCCAACAGTAGAATCGTAAAAGATGACTGTTTAAATCATCATCTACGTTAAAAATCGGCACTGCCTTTATATTGACGGAACTGGACTATGAATTTATGCAACCACATTTACAACAATTATATAAATTAATATTTATAAATTTGTACAATTATTTATAATGTGCCTCTGTCCAAACTATCGTTATCGATAGGTATTATAAAAGACGTATCTGCTTTTTAGTGTAAAAACTTTAAATTCAATGTACAGATAACATAACATTTTTTTGCTTGAAGTGACGTGAAACTGCTTTTGTACGTTGTCTGACATAAATTATGGCGCGAAAATTATTATTCTGAATATAAATTCAACATTTATTTAAATGCCAGTCTCATTGTCTTTAACACTTTGATAAAGTAACCTATTAGATGATATTACAATATTATTAAAATTTATGCAACAAACAATGCGCACGAATTTTTTTTATTGCACAGGCACGTACACTAAATATCCATACCTAGTCGTATAATATAGGTAATTAATTCAAAATAAAAAATTTAGGATTACATATATGTGATGCAATTCAGAAAGATAATATTTAGGTTATACCAAAATGTAGACTTATCCCTTAAAGCAAATAAATATTAAATCAGGTATTTATTATTTGTCTATTACGAAATACCGTACCAAAACCCATTATTGTCCTACTGCTGAATATAGATCACATAAGAGGAAACAGATTTAGATACTATTAATATGCTGACCAACAGTCTTATCATAGGCATAGATTACTGCTATAATATAGCTTTATTTCGAATTGCCTTCTCTTGCGTTGTTGATTTTGCTTTGTTCCTTAAACGCCTTGACACCCTCGAATAAAAAAAAAACAGCAAAGTAACCTTAATAAAAAGAATAAAATAATTCAGTATAAATTAAAAAAAGTAATCAAGTTCTGTATCAAATCTATAAGATACATAGAATCACACCGTAATTAGAAATGACGAATTATCCTTAAGGATGCACAACTTTTTCTGTAAAAAAACTAACTTCAAATTTGAGAAAAATTACAAAAATAGAACCACCACCGAGAAATATGTAATTGTAACAAAAAGAGAGCAAGTACTTTCGTTTCATTAACATATATAATTCATGATTAGCAACAAGAGCGTACAATGTACAACAAAAACATGCTAGTCCATCTCCTTTCCGAAGCCGTTTAAAAAATAAGTATAATCATAGACAATAGCATAGACACTTTTTAATGCTAAGTACCGCGTTAATTGAAAAAAAAAATAAAGCTGTTAGTAAGACCTTGACGAGCACAATAAAAATACAATGGTGTACTCACCAGACGGTAGTAGTTCCAGGCTCGGGCGCGACTGCGCCGAGTTCCCTCCTCAATCCCGCTCAATTGCCAGGATGTTGCTCGTTGCCACTGATGGCACACTGATTGCGATTGTTATTGCTAATCTTATTTACCTCCCATTGTGTGATGCTAATATTTCGGAGCTACGTATATGACACGTGAACGCATCACATTCCCGAGGGTTACGTCAGTAAATTTAATAGAAATTGTTTATTGCAACACTCACTTGAATAGCAGAACAATAATGTCACACACAATAATATTTGTAACGGGGACTAACAGCTCCATTATATATCACTCACTATCGTCTTTTTTAATGGACGATAGTGGAATAGTAATCCCGCCTGCGCTATCAATATACGCTGACGAAGCACCATTGAGAGGTGACAGAGGCTGACAGTTGGTCCATGCTGATGTATTCGACAAGAATTGACCGCGATGGTCCCCCCCCCCCTTTCACTATACTGACAATAAACCTACGTAATACAACTTCTACCCGGTTTCCAGAAAACTATGATGGAATTCTTCACGATGGGCTAACTGACCTGAGGAAGTCTGTGCCTATCGTACCTCACGATAGCGCGCCATCCTAAACCAGTAACGGAGGCTTGGTGACATTATCGGATTTTAGAAATGGGATATTTAAAAAGTATATAATGTAACAAGCTCTTAACCGCGGTTTGATCCAACTGTATAAGTGTAAAAAGTACATTTTTTTATAACACAAAAGGCAAACGAGGATGCGGCTCACCTGATGGTAAGTGACTATCGCCGCCCATTTTCACCCACAACACCAACGGCATTCCAGGTGTGCTGCCGGCCTTTTAAAAGGGAATATGCTCTTGAAGGTTATGAAGACAAAGCTGTTCGGAAATACTGCTGCTTGAAATTGATTCCAAAGAGTGGTTGTGCGTGGAAAAAAGTGCGATGAAAAACGCACGATGGAGGACCGCCACTCATCCAGATGGTTGGAACTTTAGTTTGTGGCAGCTTATACGATGATGAAAATCAGCAGCAGGTATCAATCTGAACAATTCTTCAGATTTCAGAATTTCTCTTTCCATAATCTAAATCTATTTTATATACGAGTAAATACAAGCATAATTAAATTTTATCTAAACGATGAGATTAAAAAAAAATATGTAAGGAATTTTAATAAGAGAATAAAAGCCAAAACAATATTTTTGTCGTATTTTAACCTGTTTGTCTGTTTGTTTTAGTATCTCGCAAAAACTACGGTTTTCACAGCTAAAATCTAGTGTACTTATCTTATTACGTTATTATTATATTATTATAATTTTTTAAACTTTACAAAAATTCTAATCTCCCCTCTTAAGGAGAGGAGATGGCAACTAACCCCCGGCAGGGGGGGAAGGGATTGTTAGTAATGGGGTGTAATGAACCCATTGCTAGCAATACACTATCAGGTCGACCTCCACGTAGTTCCCCTTGGAAACCATCGTGAACAATTCTTGTTGAATTCGTCACGATGGGCTAACTGACCTGCTTCATACTCACCTGTCATCCTTCACTGGTGCCCCGCCGGTGTACACCGATAGCACGGGCGGGGTTACCATTCCATTATCACCCATTAAAAAAAAAAAAACCCGGCAGCAGCACAGTCGGCCGGGGTTCAGGGCCCCAGGGAGAGAAACCGGCGTACAATGCGGGCAGAATCTATTATTATTACTATATTATTATTATCTTAACACGCTATCTAAAATTGTTTACCTACTTTCAAATTTTATATACAATTTATAGACAGCTAATATACCTTAATCCACACATACGTATTAACAAACAAAAGCAAGTGGGAAGCTATCACCGGAATATGCCAAACAAGATCTCAAACATAACATCTCAACTATTAATTATTCAAAAATAAATCAATACAGAAATATGAATTTCAGAAACTCGATACAAACACATCTGGGCTTCAGACAGCCCCGCTTTAAAGCCGCGCAATAAAATAAATCTCGTATCGGTGTTACAACTTTTGCATCTGTTTCCATCAAAGTGAAATGAATCATTACAGTTTTAAGCCTTTCGTTTAATGCAAATATGTGAAATACTTTCAATGATTAATATAAATATAATAATAATAAACTTTATTAACAAATACAGGGTTGCACGGTTACATGTTTTTTGCCCTAGCTTACAAATTAGAGTAACCTGTGCCTTGTAAGCCAGTTCCTTCCAACACACAAGAACTAATACTTTGTATTTGTACATGCAGAATTAAAAATATTAAGCTACAAACATAATAAACATGATGATAAATAAGGAAAAATAAAATAAATTAATGTTTAACTAGAAGATTACAGTTAATTCAATTTTTATATCTGTAACGTTCAGTGTGTGGTGTGAGAGAAGGTGAACAGTGTGAGTGTGTGTATGTTTAAAGTGAGAGGAAGAGTGCTATTAATGTGTATAATAATAATTAATATTTGGAATGAGCTCCCTGCTGACGTTTTCCCTAGAGACAACAGTATGGGGTTCTTCAAAAAGGACCTTAAGATATTAAAGTTTCTTCAGAGTCGGCAACGGGCAAATGAAACCCCTAGTGTTGCAGACGTTCATAGGCTACAGTGACCTTTACCATCAGACGGGCTGTATGCTTATTTGCCACCTTCGTAATATAAAAAAAAGGAAATTATTATTATTTCAACCGTTACCGTTCCACTGCTGAACATAAGCTTCTCTATAAGAGGAGTTTTGCCAGTAGTTGCCACGCTTGGCAGGCGGGTTGGCAACCACAGTTAGGCTTTTAGAGATGTTTTAAGAGAGACGCTGCTACTCATCCCTCGCCGAAAAATAAATAAACTAAAATAAGAATAAAAAAAGGAAATACCATAAAATATGCATTATGATGAGTTCAACGGTACATACTTGGTTTAATCATACTGCATTCATACGTCTTTGTTTTTTTTTTTTTATTATTAAGTACACCATAATGGTATTGTATAGCACTTGACAAGAAGGAAATCACTGGCGACCTCTGGTTTTTTCGACTAGATAGATAACTTTAATTCGAAAATTAAACCTTAAGTACTTCCGGACGGAAATTCTCAATGCCAATAACAAAATGACAATGTTTATAATATACGCTAAATAAGAAACACAAAAATATCAGTAAATATTTAATAATCATTCAGAAAGCCTTAAAACTGTTTGTTTTAAAAATTTATAGATAACTAACTATTCGACCCGGCTTCACACAGAAAGGTAAAATTTTTAAAAATAATGCCTGTATTACTTGCAGATAATGTAGCTTTCTATAGGTGAAGAGTTTTTCAAATTGGTTAAGTAGTTTTTGAGTTTATCCATTACAAACAAACAATCAAATCTTTCCTCTATAAATCAGCTTCACACCGTGATTTCTTTAAATTATATATGTTACTTGCTAATAATGCAGCTTTCTAGAGGTAAAAGAATTTTTTAAAACGAGTGGGTATTTTTTAACTTTATCCATAATAAATCTAATTGTCTCCGTTTCCTATTTATAACCAATGGAAACATCTAGTCTAAACTTATGTTTATATTATATATATCTCACAGTAAATATTTACCAGAGGGAGACTTTGTACAAAAGTCGATTGCTTGGGTACCTCTGTCCCATTCGTGTTTCTACCGTGAAGCAGTTGTGTTTGCATGACTGTGTTTCGATTTAAAGGTTGGGATATGGCGTGCATTTACTGGGTACGGAGGAATAACACCTGAGTCCTCAGGAATGGCAACGCATGAGGGGTATCATGGGCGAAACAGTATACTCTGTTATGTCCATGGTACTGCTCATGTCTATAGGCGACGGTTACCACTTTCCATCAGGTGGGCCGTCAGCTTGTTTGCCATTCTATGTTGTATATAAAAAAAAATATTTAGCTCCAACAACATATGTAATTCTCTTGGTGGACATGTTAATAACATAACGAAAATTATCATGTCCTGCTTATAAAATTACATGCATTTGACTGATGCATGCCTGGAAAGATTAATTTACACGACAATTTAAAGATTAACATTCAAAACGGACACAGCTTAACAGGTGTCATTACTGTACTCAGTCTCTGTCTTAAGAATGTCATCCTGCTGTCTAAACAAGACAGAATTTTTATAATAGTACAATAGAACGATGCATGGCGTAAGTTTTTTGGCGCCAGAGTCTTTTACTGTCCACTGCTGAACATAAACCTTCCCCTTAGGGGTTTTGCCAATAGTTCTACGCTTAGCAGGCGGATTGGCAACCGCAATCAGGCTTTAGAGATGTTTTAAGAGGGGCGCTGCTGCCCATCCCTCGTTCTCCCTTAGTCGGCTTTTACGACACAGACGGGAAAGGAAAGGGTGGCCTATTCTATGCTAGGACCACACGGTCATTTACCAGAGTACTTTGTACAAAAGTCGTCTGCTTGGCTGTCTCTGTCCCATTCGTGTTTTTGCTGTGAAGCAGTTTTTTTTTATACAACTTAGAATGGCAAACAAGCTGACGGCCCACCTGAAGGAAAGTGGTCACCGTCGCCTATAGACATGAGTAGTACCATGGACATAACAGAGTATTCTGTTTCGCCCATGATACCCCCCATGCGTTGCCATTCCTGAGGACTCAGGTGTTATTCCTCTGCACCCTGAAAATTCACGCCATATCCCACCCTTCAAACCGAAACACAGCCATGCAAACACAACTGCTTCACGGTAGAAACACGAATGGGACAAAGATACCCAAGCAATCAACTTTTGTACAAAGTCTCCCTCTGATGTTTGCTTGGTTGTGTTTCGGTTTGAAGGGTGGGAGATGGTAATGAAATTATAGGATACAGAGGCATAACACCTTAGTCCAAGGGGGAACAGATTAAGAAAGGGTAATGAAGACTAAGGGTCCAATTGCTAATCATATACCCAAGCAGGTCTGCAATCTACCTGCCAAGCGTGGCAACTACTGGCAAACCCTCCTAAAGGGAGGCTTATGTTCAGCAGTGGACGGTTAAAGGCCATTAAACCTCATGATGATGATCCCACCCTTTAAACCGAAACACCGAAACAACCGAAAATGTTTTTGGCTGTGAAGCATCCGTGCTTGTATGGTTGATACAAGCACGGATGCTCCACAGCAAAAACACTGATGGAAAAAA